GGCCTTGTTTCTTTCTAGGAGGAAACTGTTGTCTTTTAGTGTGTTTGTCGGATGCTTGATAGCCTATCATAAATCAGTCCACTCATTTTCTACGGAAAAAAAAGTAAAAAATGAGTGAATTGATTTATGGTATTTGTTGAGTATCAAAAATTTCATGTTTTACTTTGAACCATGATGGCGTGCGTTTCAGTCTTTTTAGTCTTTACGTTGAAAATTACTTATGATTCCAAATTCCCTTAAAGACTGGCATCGAGCTGGCATCCTCTCAGTCTGTCCGTTGAATGACTTGATTCCCGAAATTCTAGATCCCTACATTTGGAGTTTTAGGGATTTAGAATTTTGGGAATCACCCAATGAATCTTTGGTTCCCAAAAAGAATTGTCCAGATAAAAAAAAGACGCAAGGTACGTACTAGCATACCAGTTAGTGCTTACCCGAAAAGTATGTTTGATAGGTACGTACGGCAGATACCGTACTGTAAGAGGTACAGTAATAGGGATTACGTACGGTATGCCCACTTATCTACTTGTTCCATTCGGAATCACGAATGAATTTTGAAATATGAATATGAATATGAATCTTCATTCCTTGACACGATCTTTGGGAGATTTGGAATCGTTGGTCTCCATCCCACTGTATGCTGTGAGTTCGTACATAATAGCTCTGTTCAGAACGTAGCGAGCATGTCCCATCTCTTTGAATGCAATAAGCATGTGTGTAGCCTATTGGTACGCTACTCGGTTTTGGAAAAGTACAGTACTTCAAGCAACATGAATTGATTAATGCTTGCTCGTTGCTTTGGTTTTCGGAATAGGTGTTGAGACGGTTCCAACGCACTTTCCGGCAAGAATGAATCAATAGATCTTCCTCGTCGTTTCAAATGACGGGCCGGCAGCAGAACACTCAATGGATGAATAGAAGAATAGATAGATCGATTCGGATTCCTTCCGCTACGAGAGTTGAGAGATATGCTTGTTAGCGGGATCCAATTGCATCCACCCACACGCAAACCGTTATTGGCAGTGCAACGTGGGAGCCCGCGAGAATACAGGGTTTTGCTGTTTCCATACATATCAACAACCCACCAGTGCGTAGCCGATATCCAGGAATCGTTCATCCACTCTTTGCAGGTTGAGAGAACGCCGGGGGAGGGAGATTCGTTCGTTCCTTTCCTTCGTGACTCATAACAGTCTATGAAAATATAGGTTACAACAATGATAGATAATTTATCACCGCTGTGCACGATACAACAGCACTACGGTATACGTGCGTTGAAACAAGAACGGAAGTAGCCATTAGAAAGAAACGGAGAAGACCAATTGCAAGAACGAACGTCTTGCGTAGCATATTCAAACATCATAACACGTCTCTCTGTGGCAATTCAATAGCAACTTGACATCCTGTTCCATATATTTTGTCTATCTTCAAGGTAACAAGACAAGTCAAACACGGTAAGTAAAATGATGACCTCGATAGATGAAAAGCAAAATTGCTACGGATTGCACAGACATCACAAACTCAAAAGCCTCCTCGTTCTGTTCTCGTGGGAAACACACGAATTCCCCGGCCATACTTGTGCTGGTTGTTTTCCATCGCTTCGTACCAGAAGAAACTATGGTGATGAAGATCCACACGATATGTTTTGTTGCGATGGCAATGGTGGTAAGCCAGAGCGTTCTCGCCGCCTCCACACGAGAATCCAACACGGAGCGCCGCTCGCGCTACAAGCTCCGTCGTACCCCGGGGGAACGGGGAGAGACCGGCTCCACCCATAACGTCGCGGCCTCTGAAAAGACAAACAATAGCGAGCGATTTTTCCAGGCAAGCACGTCGTTTGACCGCGGAGAAAGAACCGCCATCGGTTCCAGCGAGACAGAATTCTTCGAACGTTTCCTGGGTGTCGCCTACGAGGTTGGGTCTATGTCGATGGACTTGGTGGTAACACCCCGCAAGGTCCCGGTGACCAAGGGAAAGGATACCAAGAAAAGAAAAGTTGGAAAAGACTTCAAGAAGGGCAAGAAAGACGATAGTGAGACTGCCAAGGACGCCAAGAAGAAAAGCAAAAAAGAAGGCAAAGACTCAAAGAAGACGAAAGGAGAAGAAAGCCCACCTGCCTCGAAGAAGGAAAGCAAAAAGAAGAGTAAGAGCAACGATTCTGGCAAAAAKGGCGGTGAGGGTGTCAAGGACGGCAACAAGCTAAAAAAATCCGACAGCAAATCCAAGAAAGCCAAGCGGCAACGCGCCTTGCGTACCGGACGCACTCGGGGTACCGATGGGGCCGAACGCGTTCTAGCCGGATGCTGGTTCGAAACGTCCGGAGGCAAGGCCGGGAGCAAAGCAGGTAGTAAGGACGGAAGCAAGGCTGGAAACAAGGATGGAAGCAAGGATGGAAGCAAGGATGGGGGCAGGGCCGGAAGCAAGGCCGGAAGCAAGGATGGAGGTAGAGTGGGTCCGGGCCGCCGTCTCGAACGGAGCGAAAGGGAGCTATACAATTGTGAATTCAAGGGCAGTTACACGTGCTGTCAGGTACGCAGCGATCCCGGGGACGATCCCCTTTGCTGCAAGGGGGATATGACAGTTTTGGGTGTGATCGCTGCAACTCCGATCACACCACCACCGGTAGTTGTGGAGACCAAGGACGATCGCCCCGAGGTTTACCTTCAGAAGGATGACGAGCACTCCTACATGGGAGGACCCGCCCCCATTGTACAGAAGGATCCCAAGGACGACGGCTCCGGTGATGTCGTCGATAAGGATCCGGTGGACGATGGTCCCTATGGTGTCTCTGATCGCCCCGTACCGTACATGCCCGTAACCAGTCCCGTCGAAGACGAAAGCGATGGCTCGGAAAGCAACGATTTTATCAAGGGAAACAGCTTTTAGAAAAGGAGATGTGTGATGTTCAACAATATTTTCCGGCGCCGTGTTCTATGAAATAATTGACTTGCAGTACTATACAACAGAAGTATGCTTGAGTCTGTTGCTTGTACGTTGAAGTAGCAGCTCTAAAAATTTGAGTACAGGTACCTCATAGTCTACATCGAATCCTATGGTAGATCCTGTCACGATGGAGGCCGATATTATGATTCTTATGCCGATTATGAAAAGCAAGAGTCAAACAAGGAAGCATCGCCCCCATCAAGACTACAAACACCGGTAACACATGCTACATAAGCATTTTATATTATTAAGCAATTTGGTCCCGCCGTTAGTCTGCGGTGTATCATACTGGTTAGTAGCAGCAGGTATATCCAACAACAACGCTAAGATGGTCGATAGTGGAAGCGTTTGTAGTTTTTGTTATGTTTGTCTCAGAATCCTGCTCCACAAATAGCAACGCTAAGATAGTCAATAGTGGAAGTGTTGGTAGGTTTTGATATGCTTGTCTCTTCGAATCCTGCTCAATCCTGCTCAACATACCGTCTGTTCTCGTACGTCATTTGAATCCTTCGAGTCGTGCATGCATTCACAAATACCATTAGAGACGTCTTATCTTACATGCCGCATCGGTGACCAACATGCCGTTTGTTTTTGGCACACCATCGTACTTTTTGTTGTTCGGACCTACTCACAACGCCGAGTTGTTCAGTGTGGGTCGACTCGTTTTGGCTGCCATAGCGTTCGGTCCCATCTTCAATACGGAAACAGCACCTTTCGGGATCCCAACCATGTTTCGCAAGCCCAAGCGCTCCGCCAAAAAAGCGGGCCTCCGTGCTCGCAAAAAGACAACCACCAGCGACGACGAGGAGGACAAAGAAACGACGCAGGAAGTGCAGGAGGCACTCAAGCGCGCCAAGAACGAGCACAACGGGGGAAACGGAGGAGGGAAATTCCGGAAGTCGAGCGGCACTGTGGACGACGACGATGACGGCGTTCAAGACGGAGCTAAAGGCAGCAGCAACAGCAACAATTCAAAACCAAACACCGTGATGCACCGCTTCGAGGCCGACACCAAAACCGGCAACCAGCAAAAAGACCTGGCCACGGCCACCGCCCAGCACCATCCCAAGGCGATGGAATCCATCTCAAAATCGGCATCCCAAAAAGATCCCAAGCGGAACAAGTTTCTGGCGGGCCCGATCCGGGCCCCCACCAACATCCGAACGACCTGCCGGTTCGACTACCAGCCCGACATTTGCAAGGACTACAAAGACACGGGTTTTTGCGGCTTTGGGGATACCTGCATCTATCTGCACGACCGGGGAGACACCATGAGTGGATGGCAGCTGGAGCAGGCCTGGGAAGAAAAACAGAAGACCAAGAAACGGGAGCAGGAGGAACAAATGGAACGGTTCATGAACAAGGTCGACGCGATGGACAACAACAATAAGAGTGAAGGCAACGAAAGTGGCTCGTCGAACCCGATCGGTACGGCCACGGACGATGGAATCCCCTTTGCTTGTTTCTTGTCCCGCAAGGCCTTCGAGGATCCAATCGTCACTATCTGCGGCCACTACTTCAGCCAAGGCTGCCTGCAGGACCACTTTCAGCAGCAGCAAACCGGCGGCGAGGGCGGTCAGCGGTGCCCGATCTGCGGCAGGGACACGCACGGAGTGATGAACCAACCGACGAAACTGATTGCTAAAAAGCGAAAGCTTCTCGGCCGAAAGGCAACGTGGCAGCAGTTCATGGATGCCCGGGGGGGTGCTGCTGCGGGGATGACAAAGGGAAACGACGACTTTGGTGCTGGCGACTAATCAGACCATATTCGACCCATGCAGCACAAGAAAGGGGGTTGCGAAGAACGGCAAAATGGACTAAAACACGAAACTTGATTGCACTTGAAAATGCAATGGTCGACGGTATGCTGCGTTATAAAAGTATGATATGGTATGTATTGGTATGCATCACGATGACAAGTAACATTTGACAGTTGATGCAATCTACTGCATCGAAGATTCATCATTTGCCCCTTGCCATGTAGAGTGAATGATATCCTATCACTGGCACATCCATTTCTTTCGAAGCACATTGGCACCTCAAGGCCCATGATTTGATTTCATTCAGCATTCGCCACCAGCAATGGACAGATGCTTTTGTCATCTTTGACGAAGTGACTCAGCATCGATCTCAAGATGTTAAACGAGGAGTTTCGCATTCGTTGTGACTGTGGTGCAATTTTTCCCACGATTGCGACAAAGAACGAAGCGCTCGATCTCTTTCTTCCTTCAGTGAGAGTGCAGCTATCTCAAGGATTTTTCCCGCTAGCAATGGTTCTCGAGTACCGCACCAATCAAGGAGCTGTTATTGACTCTTCCTTAATTCTGTTGACGACGATTCCAAACAATGTATTGAGAATATATCATAATCGGTTTCAAAAAATATTAGAGAGAGAGAGAGGTTCTAGATCTCCCCGAAATCTTTAGTGTAGATAAATGCTGAGGCATTCGAGAAAACTTGCTCAAAAAGAATACGATCTATCGTTGGAAAACTGATGTTGGAATACGACGGTACGCCAGCTGGCGCGGGATCTTACTGATGCAGTAATATATAACTCGAGCCGGAATCGAACGGCAAGCACAACTAGGAAATTAAATAATGCTTGTACGACGTTCGGAAGTTAATGGTGACATCGCGAGTTCACTTGCCGCGTTCGGTCTCTACGATGATTCTGCGTCGTTCAATCGACAAACTAGCATTCATTGACTACCGTATACCCCGATTGCTTTACTCCGAAAATGATACTCTACTGTAACCTATTGTAAAAGAAGACAACAGCCGAAAACCGGACCACAGTTCCACACGCCTCTAGACACCGCAGATAATTTCCGAAGTTTATCGCAGCTTCAGTTTGGTCTGCTGGTTTGCTGTGCTCGCTCATTCAACTCACGGAATACTAATTAACACTCTTTTTGATACGATGAAGAAATCGCTTTTCGATTGAGGGGATTCTATAGTTGTTTGCAGTTTGATTATCAGTCATTCCGGCATTTATGCACCGAGCTCGACCATTTTCTTGGCAATGATTTCTGACTTTTGTTTCTTTGCTACCATAACCTTGAATCGATCGAAATCAGAAAGGTTGGCTCGGGTCTTCTTGGCGCTCATCTTCTTGGCCCAGCTGGAAGCTTCCCACTTTGCAAGAGTATCGGCCTCTGACCAGGCCTTGAGGAGGGTCTTTTGGCGGGCGTTAGCCTGGATTTTAACGGTAAGATCGGTGAGGGCAATTCGCGAGTAGGAGATGACCTGTCGGGAAACTCCGGTAAGCTCGGCGGGTCCATCGATCAAGCACTTGTTTTGGTCAACAATGTCGATGATGGTGGCCAACGATCCCTTTTCAGGTCCGTAATTGATAAGGACGATGCGTCCGACTTCTACGTGTCTCTTGAAAACCATTTTGAATGTGTAATTTCGTACTGCGTTTGGTAATTTATTTGGCAATTTTTGGGAACAGCGGTAGCGTCACGTTGCGTTGTGTTGGACAACAATCAGAGGAACGAGAAATGCAATCGGTGAGGACGGTAAAATTCAGGGCTCCAACGGGGTGGTTCTACGGTGTAACTACGGTGTAATTTAATGTGTTTCCCGGTGCTAAATTTGTTGTTGTGTTTAGTCTCTGTTCCATACAGCGTCGACCATCGTCGTCACGTACCTTGGTTCGTGTGAAGTAGCAGTAGTAGTGCTAGCAAGGAGACAAGGAGATACCGTTGTTAGCTCTTTCGATGGTTTTGACCTCTTCACGATGGTGCGTTTAGTGTTGCTCGACTGAGAATATTTTGGTACGTAGAATCGTACTGGAAATAGTACGGCATGACTTGTAGTAAGTGAAAAGTGCGGTAAGAGAGATCGAATGGGTCGTCGTGGTCAGCCGTTTGTCGGTCGTTCGGAGAGTTCAGTCACGCAATACAAACCAATCACATGATATGCGTGACTGATCCAATCACGGTTGAAGAAAAACACAACCTTCGAATAGTTCCGCGCGTCAGTCATCACTCAAAACTAAACCGAGTGAAGGGAACGGTACAAAAGAACACCATGTTTTCATCATCGTCCAAAATTCGGCGCTTGCGAGAACCATTATCGTACGAACTAGCGTTATCGCTGCTTTAACGAAAAGGATTCTTTCTAGATCCTCCCGTACAAATCTCTTTGCCTTCGACATGTGATACGACGGACCATCGTGACACCCCTTTGTACTGTACCCTATTATAATAACAATAACAATAACAGAAGCAACAATGAAGTTTTGCGCTGCTGCCCTCGCATCCATGTTAGTCTGCCAACAGGCGGTGGCATTTACTACAACGAAGGCGTCCTTCCCCGCTGCTCGGTCGGCTTCGAAACTGCACAGCTCGGCCGCAAACGTGGTCCTGCGCCCCTCGCCCGCGGATGCGGGAGCCAACGGCGATTCCCCCGAAATCTTCGACAGCCTCTCGATCGGTGGATGCCGCGTGCATCGATACAAATCTACCTCCTTCAACACGGACGACACCGACGTCAACTACGTCATGTGGTACCATGGCCGCAGCACCAAGCAAGACGAGGACAAGTCGTTGCCACCCCTCAGCTCGGGCCGCATCGGACGGGCCGTTTCGAAGAACGGACTGGTCTGGGAAAAGGACTGCAGTGGTTCCTCGGACGTTGACATCGAAGGGGTTTCCTTCGGTCTCAACCAGGATTCCTGGTGGGGATTCGACACGGCCCACGTTGGTTTGGGGAGTGTGCTCTTGCCCATGACGACTCCGGCCGTCATGACGGAGGGTGGAATCTACCTAATGTACTATTTTGGGGGAAACTTCGAGGAAACTCCGATCAACGACTACGTTGAGGCGGACATGCCCGAGGACCTGACCATCAAGGGCATGAAAATGCGCATCGGCGTGGCGGTTTCCCAGGACGGAGAAACCTGGGGCCGGGTAGAGGGAGATGATCCCACGGGGGCCTGCATGCCCCCATACGAAAAGTCAAATTCCGAAACCAAGATGGAAGACGACAAGAAATCCAGTCTTGAAATCAAGGAAGAACTTTATTGCGGCTGGCCGGAGGTGGTCGTTAGGATCGACCCATCGAACGACGCCAACTCGGGATTTTTCATGTACTACAGCACCATGACCAAGGACGACAAACAAAAATCCCTTGGGGTTGCCGTGTCGAGCGACGGATTCCGCTGGTACAAGCGGGGGATATGCCTCACGCCCTCTGCCGGTGACGAGGACAGCATGGACGACGCCGGGGTAGCCCGGTGCCACGTCGTGCGAAACGCGGTCTACAACGAACTGGAGGAAACCTGGAGCGACGCCCCCGGTTACACCATGTTCTACGAAGGGGTCTCGTCCCTTGATAAGAAGCACCGCGTCCTCATGGCCACCAGTGACGACGGAGAGGCGTGGACCAAACGGGGGGTTGTCCTGGACATTGGCGAGAGCGACAATGAAGCGTGGGACTGTGACGGAGTCGGATCGCCCAACATTCTTCGCATGGACGATGGATCGCAGCGAATGTACTACGTCGGTCAGAAGGGAAGCGACACGGCCATAGGGGTCGCCAAGATGGCCGTTGACTCTACCGCCTGGGTGCGTGAGCAGTCCTCCTTTTCCTTTGTCGAGGCCTAGACATAGCAAAATCAAGAAACAACCTCCTTTCTCACCGAACGACAGGGACGAAGACGTGTATGCCAATAATACATGTTTGAAACTAATATTAATAGAGAGATACCCCTACATATGTTGCTCTTTGAAGACGAACAACACGCTTCGTCAACATGCGCTACTTATATTGTTGACAGCGTTTGAGTAATTGTCCATCCAGCCAGTAGTAACTCTATTTGCTCCGTGTATTGAATACCATCCCAATTGCATTAATTGGTTTTGAAGAAGCAAAACAGATGGTCAACCACAAACAGGTACAAATTCTTAATGTAATAAGAAACAAACACGACGTGTTCAGAATCAGCGCAGATTGCTGCCAACCAAAATGTTCTTGTGCTCTCTTCTACACCAGATTCTTTGTGTATTCCTTCTCTATTATGACCACAGAGTGTTGGATTTGTAATTTCTCTTCTTTGGACATTGATAACCATCAGCTATGTCTTCATGTCAGCATCATCAACACCAGTATCAACAACAGTATCTCCTTCTTCAACTTGTTTCATGGTGATGTTACTACTAGTTGCCTCCATGGCAGCCAAGTCCTCAGATTCAAGTCTCTTGGACTCAGACTCTTTCATCAGTTCTACTAGTACTTTGCTGCAAATATCTTCTTTGCTTTTTCTTTGGTGCAAACATATTTTTTGCTTTTATCATCTTCTCCAATGGATACCAAGCTCTTTGTTCTTGGGTCAAGGAAGGAGGTAGCAATTGTCAGAATTGGGTGGATCCCCTCCTGTCTGTTTCTCTTGCCACAATTTGGTGTGAGTCCTTGCGATAATTCATAAATTGCAGCATCATTATTTTCCAACAGATGTTGATGTCCTCCTCCAAGAGATTTCCAGCCAGTTTGCCTCCACTACTAGTAGTAGTATCACCATTCTTTTTCCATTCTTTGAGTGTCTCTCGAATGGTTTTCAGTGCTCCACGCAACAGGCTTGAACTCATGTATTTGTCTCCCTCTAGGATTTTCTGAGCTTTTTTGAATTGCTTCAACACAAGCAACACAAGCATGATTTCATTCAGACATTTCCAGTCATCACCTGTAAGTTTCCTCTCCACGTTTTCCATGGTTGTTCTAAGATAAATCAGACAGTCAAGTGCATCATATGTTGACCACCATCTTGTTGTCACGACATCATCAACCACACCACCAACAGCTTTCTTTCTTCCATAGGTTTCAACTTCTAATTCCTGAGCCCTCATGAGCTTTTCTGTGGCTTGGGTGGAATAATTGAAGTGGCGAATGTGTGCTTTTGCTTTTTTGTAGTAGCTCTTGGCATGAAGAACACCAAATGTTGTCTTTGAGTCTTTGGTATAAGCCTGCTTGCAAATGTTATGCATTTCATGGTCAGCACAATAAACATGGTGAGTACCCTTTTCCTCCGGCAGCATCCTAAGGAGAGAGTTCATGTTTGCAGCTGTGTCAGTTGTTACTGCTGGTGTTAAATAAGTACCTCCCAACTTGACCTTTTCTGACATCAATTTCTGAAAATCATCACTCAACTTCTTGCCTGTTGCTCCTCCTTCATGCAAAGACAAACCAATCTCAAATGAACCCATAGCCCAAGTCTCATCAATGAAATGAGCTGTGACACTGGTGTAGATCTGATTTGCGCTAGATGTCCAGTGATCAAGGGTAACTGAGATAGCCTTTCCCTTCAGTTCTTCAACCATTCTTCCACGCATTAAATATTCAATGTGAGATATCATCATTGATTGAACCTTCTTCTTTTGGCTCATTGGCTTTGCATGATGGTTATGGGGCTGAATTAGGTCAGGAAAAGGTTTTGTTTCTTCAGTACTGGTGAATGGAAGAAAGTTGCTACACAGAAATTTCACAGTCATCATATCTTGATATTTCTGCATCTCCTTAGCAGTTGCATTGGATTCTTTTTGTTGTTGCAAATAGTAGACTTAATGAAGTCTGGATAACCTTTATTTTTTGCCATCATCTTGGGCATGGGCAGCATCCAATTCTTCCACTAAGACATCAATATCATTCCTGTCATGTGCTTTTGCAGCCAAGTGGTGGCCCATGTTTGCATAACTTTGTTTTGCAATCATTGCATTATCATTCCAGATCTCCATCCTGATCAAATCACCACAAATGTTGCAACATGCAAATGCTGTGTTCCCAGGAGCTTTAAGTTTCCAGTTATTAGGCAAATCTGATGTATACACATCATATTTCAATCCTTGGACTTGATGGTAAAAATTACAGCAAGGTGACTTCTTATTGACTGGCTTAACAAGGCAAAAGATTGCTTCAGATTTTGGGTTGGGCTTCAACCAGTCAAGGACTGTCTTTTGGTTGGAAAGAGTGGAGTTGTTGCCATTAGTAGATGGTTGGGATTTGTGACCAGCAATAAGCCTTGGAAGAGATGTTTGAGACATGGTGCTGTTGGAAGGAAGGTTTTTGTTAGAATCAAGTATGAAATAACTCTGCACCATGATGGTCAACAACATTTTTTCTTACATTTTTTCTTACATTTTGAATGTTTTTGATAAGGGTTTGTAGCAAAGTGTGTAATAGAATTTGTAGTCACCATTTGTATCATGGAATCTTGTCCTTTTGTGAACAAATCTTTCAATTCTTGCCATTTGATCAATTATGGTCCATTTTTAATGCTTCAAGGCCTGGTAGGTGAAGCAATGGTAGTATGATTGACAAGCTTGGCATAGCCTATTGCCCTGTACTGTGAAAAATCACATTCCTATATTTTAACAATAAGAGGAGACAAGAATAAAGATATCTGTTACATCAAAGTACTCATTTCAAAGACTTTTCAGCCTCTATGTGATTCTATGGGCAGAATTTCTACTTTTACTGGCATTTTGAGTGTACTTTGGTGGGAATAGCAGAACATAACTTATTTCAACAATAAAGGCCTGTGCATTTCCAATGATAACAGTCACACATATATATAGTATGGAGGCTCTCAAGTGGTGTGATATGTTAGGAATGGTGGGGGTAAACGTTTGTAGAAATGTTACTAACGTTTGTGTTTTACATTAGGAACAGTAGGGATAAATGTTCATAAAAATGTTACTATCATTTGTGTTACAAACGCTAGTCTAATGCAAACACTTGACCCAAATGTTATGTTCCTAGTAACTGTAGCGTTCCTAACATTACAAGAAATGTAACCCCCCCCCCCTCCTTCTTCTTTGCTGTAAGATTCCAAAAAAAATTATTTCAGTTGTATCTTCATTGTCAGACTCATATTTTAATTTGGGTAATTTGTGGAGGAATCAATTTGGTGCTGTCTATGAGTGACTCCTAATTTTTTCCTGATATAATGTCAATAGTAGTATGAAATAATGCTCAAGCTACTACGCACTGCATCATAAGGTCAAGCTTTCACTCATTGTTATGACCAAACCAAATGTAAATCATTGCTGGAGTCATGGGAAGTAGAGCAACTATTATTATGTAAGTGCTGTGTAGCATTGATAATTTGGTGGCAAGCAATCACCCTTTCTTGTTACTATCTGTTTATTATTCTTCATTAGTACTTATTCTTGATTTATTCTCTATTCTTTAATTTCTTCTGTTCTTCATCAATCAGGAGTTAACAGAGAAAATTAATGCTTGTGTGCTACCATATGCAAGCAAGATTGTACAGGGACAGATTTTTTTTAAAATCTTATTATTATGTTTCACCTCCTTGTTTAGGACTATGATGTCCAGAACCATAACATCTAGGGAGAAGAACACTCCTAGCATCTTGGAGAAGTGTCACCTCCCTCCAAGGAGTGGTTGTGGAGGGGGCGCCACCTGGTAAATGCACTGCATTTGGAATTTGCTGGTTAAAAGGATTGAGTCAATGTGGTTTGAAGTGTTCTAGGAATGCTTTATTCTGTATCCACATCCACATAATCATTCCTATACTTCCTACAGCCTATGCTGGTGGTGGTTGGTGGATAGGGATAACAAAAATTGGATTAATTTTTTCATTACATTTATCCAGAAGTTTGAAAATATTATGTTGTTGCTTTTCATAGTCCATCGAACATGACATTGGACTTTGGCATCATATGACAGCACAAATATGGTTCTAAATGTTCAACTTTGGGATCATGCAATAGCAGGATAATGGTTCTACTACTACTACTACTACTACTACTACTACTACTACTACTACTACTACTACTACTACTACTACTACTACTACTACTACTACTACTACTACTACTNACTACTACTACTACTACTACTACTACTACTACTACTACTACTACTACTACTACTACTACTACTACTACTACTACTACTACTACTACTACTACTACCACTAAATTCTAGTATGCTCCAGACATTGTTCAAAAGCTTTTATGGCATACAATGATAGAACAGTCATTATTCCCAGCATTGAAAAGACACTGTGTTAAAAATATAGATTTTCCAGCTACCAAACAATTATTCAAAGGAAGGAAATAGTATATGTAAAAATACTGCTGGTGCTATTACTACTAGTAGTATTACTACTAATCACCATAGTAGGTTTCAGAATGAGGAATACAACAACATTTAATTTGACTGTGCTTCAACATGCACAACACCAGCAGTGCTTGTTGTTTCTGAAAACATTTCTAATATGCCAAATATGTTGCACCATTGGTTGGAGAAGGATTTGGTTCTCATCTAAGCAACAAAGGATTCTTGGATTGGCAACAACAAGCATCAAGAATGTGTCTGCATGGTGATGCTACACTTTGGAATTTGAAAAGAATGACCTGTGATACTAACAGGAGCACAATCGTCAACTCTAAACTTTTTTGTCTCTCCATAAGAACATTCCTACTCCTGATCACACTCATTGTCAACAGCATCTCTCTTGTCCAGCAAGTATACTAATAATAGTAGGACATTGAGCTTCAAATTGATCTGTGGATTACTAATACAAAAATAGATACCTTTTAATTATCTGATTATATTATACGCATGGCAGAAAACAAGTGGCAGAATTCAAAGAAACAAGACAAAGAACAAGAAATGCATTGAGAATAAATTGTGCTGCCTTGCTCACTGTGATGTGATATTGGAACGCTTCTTGCAAATAAATTAGTATGTTGACCAAAAATAGATTATTCATTTTTAACTTAAACATTCAGTCATTATTGTGACAACAAGTCATTCTAGCAATAACTTAGTTTTTGCACCGTAGGAAGTTTTTTTGGCCGCCGCCTTCAAAAAAAAACAACGGTGGCGGCCTACTAATTTTTGAATTCAGTACTACATTCACGGAACATCTACGTAACCGTTGAGTAGCTCAACATTTTCATGTACTCAGCGCTCGTAGTATTTTTTAGGTACATTATTTTGTTGAGCAAATCGCGCGTACAAACACTAGTTATTTTTTTGCTCAAGTACATGCACCTCAACTGGTTACAAACCACGCGGACTGAATTTTGTAACCAGAATTTGTAACCAAACCCTTTCCTAAGGAGAGCCAATATTTTTTACACGATACTACTGCTAGTCTGGTTACAAAAAAAAAGGGTCTGGTTACAAAAACAGGMGCACTGGTTCCCTTGTGCGCGCTTGTAACCAGGCGTTTGCACCTCAACAGGTACAAACTAAAAACTGTCTTCACTACTGTAAATATGTACTAGTATCAGTACCAGTAGTACACAGTACAGTACTTCGTGAACGAGGAGTACTAAATCAGTGAAAAACTCCTCTTAATTGCTATTCCAGTACAAACTCGTGTAGAAAACACTGTAGAAATATTGATTTGCAGGGGGAAACAAGCAAAAAATCAAGCAAAACACCAGCAGCAGAGCAGAACGCTGTATCGTATCGGCAGCTCCTCCGTATCAGCGTCCTCCGTATCGTATCAACAGCTCGTTCCTCCGTATCGTATCAGCGCTTCCTCCTCCGTATCGTATCAGCAGCTCGCTCCTCGTCCGTATCGTATCAGCATGCCCCTCTGTATCGTATCAGCATGCTCTTCCGTATCGTACCAGCGCTGGCTCCTCTGTATCGTATCAGCGCTGGCTCCTGCCCCTCTGTATCGTNTCCGTATCGTACCAGCGCTGGCTCCTCTGTATCGTATCAGCGCTGGCTCCTGCCCCTCTGTATCGTATCAGCATGCTCCTCCGTATCGTACCAGCGCTGGCTCCTCTGTATCGTATCAGCGCTGGCTCCTCCGTATCATATCAGCAATTTGCTGAGTACATGAAAATGTTGAGCTACTCAACGATTACGTAAAATAACTGTGGAGGAGCTCTGCTTCACCGCAACAAGTACTTTCTTCAGCAACACCAACAACAAGCTCTCGAGCTAAAGCTCTCGAGCTTGTTGGTGGTGTTGCTGAAGAAAGTACTTGCAGTAACGTCACTTCGGTCTCGAGCTAAAGCTCTCGGCCACAGTGACGTTACTGGTGTACCAAAATCGAACCAGAAAATGTACTCTGTTGAGGTCCGTGTTATTTGTGTGGGAAAAATTTTGTACAGCTCGAGAGCGCACAGTACAAAATTTTTCCCACACAAATAACACGGACCTCAACAGAGTACATTTTCTGGTTCGATTTTGGTACACGCGCTGCGCGAGATCCTCCACAGTTACTATACATAACGTCGGGGAAGTCGGGAAGTGGTTCGAAGTTTTTCCTGTGACCCTTCACCTTTTTTAAGAGTTCGGATCCATTTTTGCTTTCATCCCATTTTCATCATCAAATAATCATTTTTTCTATTCTATCAAATCCAAAAGAGTAGAATTTTGCCACGAAAAGAAAATTCATACCATGAAGGACGACAGTAGTCCTACACCACTAATTGACGTTATTATTGTGGGCGGAGGCCTCAGCGGCCTAATGATAGCCCGTTATTTGAAGAACAGCACAGCAAGTTGGAAACTTTTGGAGGCGTCGTCTCGCATCGGCGGTAGGCTACAAAACGACGTCGGTAGCGATGGCCCAAGCAGGAACATAGATCTCGGAGGCGCATGGGTCTGGCCCCGACATCAACGGACGATTATGGCAGCTTTGGTAGATTCTCCCTTGCTGGGAATCAAAACGTTTCTCCAGCCTGGCGATGATTACAGAGCATCGGAGACCACCAGAATCGTTGGAGGCGCTGTCGAATTAGCAATCAAAATATACGAGGAATTGCAGGTGACCAACAACGTACAACTCAAATGCCCAGTCGTTGCCATAAGGAAAAATTCGGATCGAAGCATTGCTGTTGAATTGAAAAGCGGCGAGGTCATTCGTTGTCGACATGCTGTATTGGCGGTACCACCGAGGATTCTTTCCGAAAAAGTCTCCTTCGATCCCGACTTGCCAAACGCAAAGATGGCTGCCATGTCGCAATCCGAAACCTGGATGGCAGGTGTTACTAAGGTTGCGTTGGTATACAAAGGATCCCCTTCCTTCTGGCCTCTCATTGTTAGCGAAGCAGATAACATAGTATCGCCAAGAAAAAGGAGGCCGGCCTTTCAGGTCTACGACGGCTCCCCATTCTCCTCGCTGCCATCGTCCACCAATACGGAGAACGATGACAAGGTATCTGTTCTCACCTTTTTCACCTTGGCCAGTCTCAGCAACGACACGAACGATGACGACAGGTTGGCCAATGATTGTGCGGAACAACTGTGCGATTCTTTGTCCACGGAAGCCATTCGGAAAGTCCCAGTTCTTGATAAGTACATTCGATCTTTTGACGAATTTCATGTCAAGAGGTGGCCACAGGAAGCATACATCAGTCACAACACGAATCCGATGACTATCACGCCCCACCCTCAACCGATTCCGGAACTGGCAAAATCGGAATGGGACGGAACGCTGCTTTTCGCTGGGACCGAAACGGATCAACGTTCGCCAGGAGTGATGGAGGGCGCTGTGGGGGCAGCATTTCGCGTGATTAGTGAACTCAAGCAAAAACTATCTCAATAGACTTTCACTTGAAAACTAATCTATTCAAGAGACAACAATCGAGAGGCTAGCAGATATCTTATCACTCTGATTCATTTTAGCGTAACGCTGAGCTTCTATAGATTTATTTATATGCTGTGTTTAGCGAGAAAATGAATAGCTAGTTGTTGAAAGCTTATTTTGAAATCGTGGCTTTCGAAATGAAAGAGAGCTTTGGGTAACTCTCTACGAGGTATGGGTTGCCCTTTCGTTGAATCAAAGCTTGATTGGGAAATATGAATTCAAAAAATATTTTTTAAGGATTGCAATTTGGTCAGCCATGTTCAGCGAAGATAGCAGCCCGGTTAGCTCAGTAGGCAGAGCGTTCGTCTCATAATCCAAGCAATCTAAAGCAAGCGAAAGGCCGTCAGTTCGATCCTGACATTGGGCACTCTTCGTCTTTCTTGCCGAATTAGCTCAGTTGGCAGAGCGCACGACTCTTAATCGTGTGGTCGAGGGTTCGATCCCCTCATTCGGTGCACCTTGTCTAGTTCGTACAGTGGTTAGTACCCCGCATTGTGGTTGCGGAAACCTGAGTTCGATTCTCAGACTGGACAACTTTTCGCAATCACTTTTACATTTTATGCGTTCAATAGATTCATGAAAGCTTCTTTATGTTGCGTTTTTCTCGATGCCGATGGCAGCGAAAATATTGTCTAGTTCGTACAGTGGTTAGTACCCCGCATTGTGGTTGCGGAAACCTGAGTTCGATTCTCAGACTGGACATCTTTTTAAGTACTTTTTCCTCCTCCTCACCACAACATGCCATCCGGTTTCTCACACTGACGACGGGCTCGCAACAAGGAGAGCACATCCAAGGACGTACCGGTACTTTTTTCTCCTATCTTTCATCTGTCATTATTAGGAGCACGTCGCAGATTAAGCAACATGCAACGAAGTGGAAAAATAGCAATACTGTAGTACTTTACATACGTACGGTAGATAGGTCTGACTTGTATCATCCAAAAATCTTCATGCCGATTGCAACATTTTGAGCCAAGGATGACAGACAGACGTGATTGCCTTGACCACTGAAGATTTTTCGATTTGTGCTAACCTCCTCTCATCACGACGTATCACGTTTCGTCTTTCTCCCGAATTTTTTCCCTCGACGTCAAACGAAAGTGCTGCGTCCTGCCAAACACGCTGTACATAATACAATATTGTAGTAACATCTAGCCAGCGATTTAGTCATCATGGGCATTTCATCAAAAGACAAAAAGGCAAAGAAGGCTGGACCCAAGGGAAAGAAGGCCCGGCGTCAGGCCAAGCTCGAGAACCGATGGGGTGAAACGGCCCAGGTGGACGCGAACACGGGAGAAGAAATTCGAAAGAAAACCCGAAGGGGATACGACACGGATGGCAAGCTGAAGTCGGCTCTCAAGGGAAACATCAATAAAAATCTGGCCAAACACAGCAATGAAGGAAGGGAAGGATTTTACAGCCGTGTGCGAGATGCGTGCACGGAGAAAGAATTGCAGAAAATGTTGCGCGAGCAATCTTCCAGGAGACGTCGAAAACGAGTCGAATACGTCGACGAGTCAGAGGATTCGATGGATAGCAGTGACGATGACGACGGGCAAGGCGATGACTACGACTCTGACGTCGGCAACGAAAATCCGATGGGCGATCTCTTGGGCATGATCCGAAAGAAATCGACAACTAATCGCGTCGAAGACAATATTGAGAAAGAAGAGGAAGAAAGCAACAGCGACAGCAGTGATAGCTACGATGACAGTGGTAGCGACGAAGATGATGATGAAGAAATGGTAGATGACGATGAGACTTCAATTGCAGAGGATCCCGTCAATGTTGTCGAAACTTCTTCGGACAATTGCGTCGATTTTTTCAAATGCCGATTTGGTCGTTCGCCACTAAACCAAGTCGAAATGACCAAGCTTGAAGAACCCCGAACGAAACCCATAATGAGAAAGATTCCGTGTGGCAAATACGCCGACCTTCAATTCACGCTTCCCCAGGTTTGTGACTCCGCAAGCGATAGCAACAATGACGACTGCGAGAACGACAGCAAAAATGGAGGGAACAAAAACAATATGTGTGACGATCTCTTAGAGCTAAAAACACCCGAGGCGTGGCAAGCCAGCGCCAAGGACACCTATTCCAATACCACGCGCGAAGTACTGCAACGGCACTGGACCGCAAGCAACAAGAACTCGAAGAAAGCAAGTTGCAACAACATCCTTTCTGATGCCCAAGCTCCGGTCTATTCTTTCTTGGCACGCTATGCCGACGTCTTGGATGCCACAGCTGCGACCGGGAAAGGCAACAACAAAAGTGGGACCGATCGCCGGAACCAAAGGGACCAGCATCGACTTCAAACTTTGCACGTATTGAATCACGTTTTGACTTCCAGGTCGAGAATCGGACGAAACAATCGGCATCTGAAGGAAGTGGAGAAAAGACGAGAAGAAGCGAAGGACGCCGAGGAAGAAAAGAAACAAGAGACTGTTCCTTCGAAAATGTCCGCCGATCCAATGGACACAACGATGGAAGAACGTGATGTTCGTGACCAGGGATTCACCCGTCCATCCGTTTTGGTATTGCTGCCCACGAGGGGTACCTGTTACCAATTCGTTAAGGACCTCTACAAGCTCTCGGGAGCCAAAATGCTAGAGGAGCAGGAGGATCGCTTCGATGCCGACTATGGAGAGCTCATCGAGGAAGACGACAACGATGGAACGCAACTGAAACACGAGATAGCCCAAAAAGTAGCAGAAAAAGAACGTCGCCGAAAGGCAGTGTTAGAAAGCAAAGGGAAAGAGTGGAATAAATTCTTCGGAGATCAGGCCAACCAAGACGACGATTTCAAGATTGGAATCTCGCTGATACCAAAGTCTGCCACCGCCAAATCAAGTAGTAATGTTTCGATCAAGCTATACAGCGATTTTTTCAAGAGCGATATTATTGTAGCGTCTCCACTTGGATTGAAAATGCTCATCACCCCCGAAGTCGGTGGAAACGACGACGACGAAGATGACGACGAGGAAGAGAACACAGGCACGAAAAAGGGAAACTGCGATTATCTCTCAAGCATCGAGATTTGTCTGCTCCAGCACTCCGAGATGATTCTGATGCAAAACTGGGACCATGTCAACGACATTCTCAGCATGCTCAACCATGAACCCAAGAACAATAACAATACTGACTTTTCCCGCGTGCGAAATTACCTGCTGGAGGGTCAGGGTGCAAGGTGGCGACAGCTGATTCTGTCGTCCAAGTACTGGGATCCGAACCTTCTCTCGACATTCAAGCGCTTTGGTAAGAGTTTGTCAGGTCAGGTCAAGGTTCGCAGGAAGATCCGAGATGGAGATGCCTCTATTTCCAGTGTTTTGGTTCCTATCAAGCAGGTTTTTCAAAAGATCCCCACTGGCAACTTCGCCCAACAGAGCAAGGCCAGGGTCGATTATTTCGTCAAGAATCTACTCCCCCAGCTTGAGCGAAACGACCAAAAACACACGCTGGTGTTCATACCGTCATATTTTGACTTTTGTTCCCTACGAAATGCCTTTCTGAAGCTAGAAAAGAAGCACATCTTTGTGAGTGTTACCGAATATAGCCGGGGGACCGAAATCGGCCGCGGCAGGGCCAGGTTTTTGCAGGGCCGGAAACCCATCATGCTCTACACAGGTCGTGCCCACTATTTTCACCGCCACGCAATCAAGGGGATCCGAAACATTGTCTTTTTGGGGCTCCCGGAGCATCCAGAATTCTACTCCGACTATGTCAACCTAATCCAGACCGCTGCATCGGGCCGCAGCGATGAGATGGACCTGGGAGACGACATTGCAAACGACAACGAGACGTCCTGCCTTACACTCTTTACGAAGTACGAGGCTCATGCCCTCGAACGCGTGGTGGGGAGTGCCAATGCCATCCGCATACTCGGTAGCGAAAACTCTGTTTTCATGTTCTCCTCGTAGTGCAGCAGTGGAAGATCAAAAATAGATAACAGGGTTATAAACTACAAGTATGGTCTTCAAACACTCAAGTACTTCACAGTCTGTTCTCTTGACAGATTAACAAATACCTCTTGAATTCAATTTCATAGTTGTCTTCTACTATAACCGTTGACCATTGCTATAGAAAGTGCGCAATGTGCTATTCACATTGTGCAATGCATGCAGAAAGTTATCACCCGCACGACTATTTGGTGATCGTAATCCGCTACAAACAAATGGCTTGTTTTCCGCGCCCTTGCTATTTTTACGCAGTTGTATCATCGCTGTTTTAATGGTGTAACTTTACATTATTTATTGAAGGGCACTCATAAAGCTCGGCGTGATGGACATGCGCTTGTCGTCGTTTTCAATCACACTGTCAACGAGTCCGTATTCCACGGCCTCATCGGGTTGCAGGTACTTGACACGCGAGCAGTCCTTGACGACGGTGTCGACGGGCTTGCCGCAGGCCTCGGCGATCAGTTGGCACATCTTTTGTCTGTTGTTGCGGGTCTCACGGGCCTTGATAGCAATGTCCGAGGCCTGTCCACGAGCCTGCGATTTGGGTTGGTTCAGTAAAATGGTGGCGTTGGGGAGCGAATAGCGGCATCCTCGTTTTCCGTTAGCCAAAAGCATGGCGGCGGCACCAAAGGCCTGTCCGAGGGCGACCGTGTGAACTGGTGGGCGAACATATTTCATGACATCGGCAATAGCAAAGGCCTCTGTTTCGAATCCAACGGCTTCTCCGCTGTTGGTGGTTGTTCCGGAGCTGTTAATGTACATGGTAATCGGATCGTCGGATTCGTAATTCAGATATAAGAGTTCGGCAATGACCAATTCCGTTACGGCAGGKACGAGAGGCATACCGATGTAAACAATACGGTTGTGCAACAAAAGCGATGGGAGATCAGGAGGCGGACCAATGGGTGCGCCTGTGTTGTTTTTTTGTTTATTGATGCCATGGTAGGAAATGCGAGCAAAAAATGGTGAGTTTTACATGATATAAAATAGTGATTTCCAGCCAAACTATCTCTGATCCATGAGAAATATCACGTAGCGTCTCTATCTTTCCATTGTGTCCGTCAGCAGTGCGAGTCCAACATCTTCTCCGAAAACAAAAAAGGATCCCAATTGGCAAATACTGCATCTCGGTAGCGGCAACGACAACGCGAGGCAAAACGCAATACACGCAAGGTGACGCACCCTCGTAGTACTCTTGTCCGACGGCGCGTTCGGCTCCACCGGCAACCATGTTCGTGGGTGTCCAGAGAGATCCGTCCTTGTTTTTCAGTTGCTCGGGAACCATGAGGCCGGAAGGAGCCTGAGTGAAGCCCTTGGCACTAGGAGTGAAAGCCCCGACACCGCTAGCAGCGGCCATTGCGGCGAAAATTGCCGCACAAAATTTCATCTTTCCGTATTATCTATTATCTACTAGCTGAGGATTGTTGAGTGGATTGTTCCTTCCTGTTTCCTTTTCGATAGGTGGATATCGTAGCATCAATAATACTGTGCACTGGATATTCGAAGCCGATGCACGGTACTTGGTACTTCACTCGGAGATGAACAGCTGATGTTCTGATTCGGGCGTTTCCCACTACCGGTTACAGCATTCAGTTCTTTCTTCACGTGATATCTGGTGAGCTGTTTGTCGTTCATTTCTCGTCGTCATCTTATGGTGCGCATTATGACGCGTGGAAAGGTGTATCGCAGTTCCATAATTTCGATTACTATGGTTATTATATATAGTGCATATGTACTTAGAATTTCTTGGTACTTTTTAGAGCTCTTGACTCAGTATCCAATCAGAGAGTCCAGACCCCAATTACTTCCACGTGGATGTAGCTCGTCGCCTTTATCTTCATGACGTCGACTTCGAAAATACCGGTATTTCTGTGGACAAACCAAAATTTGAATTGTCTCATTTTTATCAAGGATATAACGACCGATAACGAAGCATTAAAATTCAAAAAAATAGACACCAAAAATCAGGATCTCCGTCGATTCGCGAAGCAACGGTAAGGAATAACTGAGACACTGACACAAGTTTTTCCAATTCCCAGTGATGCTTGAATGACATCATTTCTGTGCTTGGCGAATCCATTCTGCGCTACACCAAAAATAATCGTATCTTGTGAAGTCCGCACTCGCTCCATTCATTACAAAAAACATCGCGAAATCAGAAGCACGATGAAATTCAATACTGCGATCCTGTTGGGAAGTCTCGCGACCGGCAATGTCGCTGCCTTCAGCCGACAGTCGTACACAACAACAAAACTCAGCAATTCGGTTTCCACGACTATGGCGACGGCGTTGCATGCGATGACGGTCGACATCGATGAGAGCACCCCGAGGGATGTCTGGACCATGGATGAATACATGGTGAATTGCGGAGTCCAGCGGGCCGATGGATTCCAGCTGTACGACAGCAGCGAGGAGACCGGTGCCAGTGCCCCCGGAATGGACTTTTCCGTGCTGACGACGACCGACTTGCCGGCCGAATCACCCGTTCTGTGTGTTCCCTACGAGTTGATTCTCTCGTCTGAGGAAATCCGCGCAGGAGAGCTCAAGGGATTGGTCGAGCCCGCTGAGGAAATGCTCGAGATCCTGGGCGTCCCCGAGAAGCAGTTCGCAATGTTCCACCTCTTTCTGAAAATTCTAATGGAATACGAAAAGGGAGAGGATTCTCCCTGGTTTCCCTGGCTGAATTCTCTGCCGCGGACCTTCAAAACCGGTGCTTCTATGACACGTACGTATCGCCCAGTGCGTTGCAACACTTTGTGCAATGTCGTCATGCGTAGACCAAACTATCGTGTTCTATTTCTCGACAAGATTGTGCTCATGCTGTTTTGAGTTCTTTTTCTCTCTTTTTCGCTTCTGCAATCGCATTTTTGATTTCATGTTCAGCTTATTGCTTTGAGTGCCTTCCACCACTGGTTTCAGCACTGGCTTCGGAAGAACGCGTCAAATTCGTTAACTTTTCGAATTGCCTCCAACAGGTACGCTTTCTGAGCAGTGAGACCAAAAACAACAAGGAACTTGCGAAGTGGGCCTACAACATAGTGTACACAAGGGCTTTCGGAAACAACGACGGCACCGGAAAGGAGGAAGACAACAAGCGGATTGTGCCTATGGCAGACATGTTTAACCACGCTACGGACACCGAGGTTCAGATCAGCTTCGACGACGACGGTAATTGCTATGCTTATACGACACGGGACGTTCCTGCGGGATCACCGCTACGGATGTCCTACGGTTGCCCGACAAATCCTTCCTATTTGTTTGCTACTTATGGATTCCTTGATGAGAGCTCTCCCGCAACTTTTTGCAAAATTATGGGCATCCAACCGACGCAGGAGCTGCGCAATATCGGACTGGACTTTTCCAGGATGCTCTTTTACAAGGACACAGGCGACATTACCGAAGAGGTATGGGATGTTTTGCTGTATACCATATTGGAAGATCTGGAGGACGATGACAGGCAAACGCAGACGACCTTTTACAACGCCTGCATGCAAGGTGATCTGGACACGAAGAACTCGATCCATCAGCAGTATTTCCCGTTGACGTCGAGGGCGCTACAAATCCACGTGAATTCCTTCCTCCACGAGCTGGACGAACTGAACAACAAAGCTAACACGAAGGATATCAACGAGCACCCCCGGATTCCGATAATACTCGAGCACAATGCCTTCGTCAAGGAGACATTCTTGAGGGTTAAGACAAACCTAGATTCCATGGTAGCCCAGATGGCATAATCAGGAGAGAGTCGAGCCGAGGCATGCAGAGCAAAGTTGGACATTGCTTTCGCCTAGATGCCATTTGTTTCGATCGATGTCTTCGAACGTAGGCACGGGAAGTTGCGAATCTCGATGGAATTTATACAAGTCGTTGCCATCTTCAGGGTTGATGTTCTTTTCATACATCTTAGAATACATAATAGTTATTAGAACCAAACCACAAGCTTTCTTTTAGGCCTTGCGTCAATTGAAAAACGACTGAAGCGTTCTCTATAATGTGCGTGCATTTCCAAATAACCGTCAACACTTGAATATCTGTAATGAACCTGCCTTATGTCCGCTCCGCGTTATCTCTCGGAGTCTTCCATTCCTCAGGATTCAGATAAAGTATTATAAGTTTATGTGATTTGTTTCATAACTATCATTCATCACACAATGCAGGTACCTCCCGGTTCCTGAGGAAGACAGCTCTGCTGCTGTTGTTCCAGCCTTCGAACAACGGGCGTTTCGATGCTAGCTTTGCCTCTCTGCTCAAAGTTAGATTGAATGCTGGGTATATTCGGTCCTGTATTTCGATACGATTTTCAAACCGCTACCGTTGAAAGCACATAAAAGGATCAGTACTTAATTGATTCATTCATTCATTCATAATCCATCAATCGTAGGGGGTGCGGAGACAAACAATTTCGCAGGGACGCGTGCAATTCCTCCTTCTCCGGAAAACTCCAAAGAAACGCAATTCGAGTATTTGCCGCCATTTTTGGACCTCTTTACGGCATTCAGACTCGCTCACGCCGAGTGAACGGTTCATTCTACATGAACCGTTGAGGGAGTGATATTCGATGATTTCTTTCTGGGTACTTGTCCGTGGACCGCCCGAGACGAAAAGTGTTTTCTCTGGAGGGCACAAGACAATGAATTCTTTGGCACCTCTTTCAAAAATCAGCGATGAAACAGATCCCTGGACCCGGATAGGACAAAGAAAAGATTGAACTTTCACGACGTTGACATGAACCATTAATTTTACTTCGGATGCCGGGCATCATTGAACGAACCAGCCATTATTCTCAACCTCTTTGCCATCGTATTCCTCCTCTCTATCATCTACAATGGGTTTTCTCCATTTTGATAACAGAAAAGTCTCCAACAGAAACAGGTTCATGATTGTAGCAGGAATCGTTTTTTTCGCTTTTTTCGTCTCCGAGATTCACTTTGCAATTCAATCAAAATCCAATCTCACTAGTAGCTCGGTCACGGGGATTGGTGGTGCTGCTGGGCATGATTATGAGCTAAGCAGCGAGGGCGATAGCATCGACCAGAGTAGTATGTTTACGTCAATGGAAGGAGCATTCGAATGGAACAAGTTCATGGTTCCCAGAGGCGATAATATGGGCGAAAGCGATTTCTCTATCGGCAGATCCTTACCACCCCAGGACAGAAACACTGGACGGAATCTTCGAATCGATCTCCTCGAGGCGATGAAGTCTACAGTCCTTCCTCCACAATCGAGCAACAAAAGGAGCCTTCGAGGGCAGCACTGAAGGGGACTGCGTAGGTTCCAAAGTAGCGATTGACCATTCATTTTACGCTGGTCTTCCTCTCATAATCCCTCGATGGCAATAATGACGGGATGCATTCATTGGAAATGGATGAATATCTAAGCAAGACTCCCAGAAAGCAGAGTCTGACTACAACGAATAGCCCAGAAGAATTACAAATTAATATGTAATGTTACACGTCGAAACTATTCGTATGAATATGAAGAAATTATATCTCCAATCGAAATATCTGCAAGTGGGCAGATTTCTTATTCGTTCTTGTTCAGTTTGTAATCCTTTTGTGTTATTATCACACAACAAGATGTGCAAAGTCACTTTCATGGGTGGCTGTTTGAGTTTGTCTATTCTACTGTACTATTATTATGATTGGTTCATGTATTTTATTTTGAATCGAATCAAAACCCGTATCATCTACTTCTTTTGCAATGCCTCCTTTAGTGCACATTTCTTCGTGGCGTCGGCATTCGCCGTTCCGGGTGTTGTGTTGTCAAAGTTGATTTCCTTCCACACGTGGTCGGGCACTGTTTTGCAATAGGTCAAGATTTTATCGTTCTTGCTGTCGCTCTCATCAAATGTCGCCACGGCCCAATCGACCAGCCGGTCGCGCCCACCCAAGGCCGTGAATTTTTTCGTTCCGTCGACGCTTTCTTCCATCCAGCAAAAGGGGCTCGATTTGTGGCCCTCCGGGAATTCGGCCCCCGAGTCCATGATCTCGGCCTTGATCGAACTCAAAAACTCGGGGCGAAAGTGAAATGTGTCAAAGTAAAACCAGGTTTCGTATTTGTCGGGATATGCCTCGACGATCGCGTCGGCAATGGCGCGGGCCCGCCCCGTGTGATGGGATTTTCCAAAGCCCGAGACCTGTGAGTTTTTCGGGACGTGTTCGTTGTGTTGCATTAAAAAATTTCATAATTGTGTTGCGTTCGTTGCACAGTATTGATTCAGAAGGAGGAAATAGGCAACCCTTATGTTAGCCGATGTATCAAAATACTATGATGCGAGCTCGGGAGTGATCCAAAGATGGAGCATTGCACCGTACGGTGAACTGAAACTGTCAACATCAAGCGAGGACGCATTGGTGAATACTTACGCAAATTCTTGTCAATCCTTCAGGAACTGGAGGACGAGGAAGTGGAGTGGATGCAGGGATAATTTTCTTGAGGAGATTCATTATTGTTGTAGTCTTTGTTTGTATTTTGTTTGTTTTGTTAGTATTTTTATGGGAATTAACAGAAAGCGAGAATCTTTCAAAATTTTGTGTGATAACTCGCCGAAGCACGGTTCGTAATTTCAATCCAAACGCCGTGCAACATCAAAAAAGAGTTCGACGAAATGTCAAGATAATTCGACAACAGCGGTAGTACCAGTTTAAACACTCGTTACAGTCTTGCGATTTGCAAGTCGAACGAGAAAAAAGAATTCTTTCCCAAGCATTATTGGTCAAGACCAGTACGAGTAAGGCTACCGTGCCTCAGTCCTAACTTCGTACTCGAGGGTAAAAGTACGAGTATCCGTCGCAAAAAATGCATTCGACGGGATTCGAACCCGCGCATACGAATATATTCGAACTTGAGTCGAACCCCTTAGACCAGCTCGGGCACAAATGCGTTGTAAAACAGTCACGCCTTACAACATACTATCCCTCGTGATATTCCACGTGGAGGCCGCGAGACGACTTCCATTAGACGTTTTTGGTTTAGTGTTTTTATGCACCATCAATAAAAAATTTAGAGGAAAGGCCTCTCGTAACGGGCAGTACGCAGCGTACGGATTGTACGTACGATCTCCTCTGTTTTTCCCGTCAGTCACCACCAATCGCAGCAAATCTGTCGTCTCAATTGACGCCACAGGCTTGTAAATACATCAACAGATAGGCTCCAAAGAAGTACAGTAGTACGGTAGAGTAGATTACGATTGCCTTTCCCGACAACTCCTCTCATCAGCCACAAATCTAATTGTCGAGCGATTTTGATCTCAACCATCGATCCCTCGATAAAAAAGAAGTAGTGCAGATCCCGTTAACAATTTTGCCGTGAAATGTCGTGCCTCCCGTTTCCGTCCTTTGTGGACCAGGTCCCCGTCGATAAGTCGAACAACCGAGCTGGATTGTGTGCGGCAGGAACCTGTCGAATTCATCCACTGACCTGCGCCAATGCCCACAAAGACGAATATCTCGCCATCATCGCCAAGAACAAGGAGCAAGCCTCGGTTGATGGGTCCTCCGCCGACAAAGACGAGAAGAAGAAGCTGAAAAAGAAATACATGAAGCAGGGCGTCGCAATGGCCTCGGACTACATGACTAAGTCGCTGCAACTGGATCCCACCGTGGTCAGCGTACAGATGTCCATCGAATCCAGCACCATCGTGGAAACGGACGGCTGCATCACGGCATGCTTTTTGGATGCCGGCTGCACCCATATCGCCATTGACGGGACCAACCTTGAGGCGCTCGATGCCGCTAGAATTCCTCGAGAACGCATAGTGGCCTCCTTTGGCTCGATAGAAAGCTGCGGGAAGGACGAAATCACGGCGGCGCTGGCGCTGGCGGCTACCATCAGCGTCCCCGTAACGAACCTGGAACAAGTCGACGCGGTCATGTCGTCGGTGCCGGATGCACACGATAAGGTGATCTTCGAGCTTTCCAGCCCCGACGATGCCCCGGCCACGCTCGAATTCATTGCGGCCATTGCCAAAAAATGCAAGGACCACAAGGGAAAGATTGCCCTGGTGGACCCGGACGCCACGATACTGGGCAAGAGCTACTGCGCTTGTGCCAGAACGGACCGGCCCGACGGCTTGTACACGACCGTAGTTTGCACCCGCAACAACGAGGCCCTTGGATTGGTCTACAGCGCGGTCGAATCCATCATCGCCGCCTTTGAATGTGCCCGCGGTGTGTACTGGTCCAGGTCCCGCGGTGGATTGTGGAGAAAGGGAGACACCAGCGGGCACTTCCAGACTCTCCACCGATTGGACGTGGACTGCGACGGGGATGCCTTTCGCTTCACCGTCACACAGCGGGGCGACGACGTTGTCGCCTTCTGCCACCTCCACACCCTTACGTGCTGGGGGGAACCAAACGGACTGCGCCACCTCGAGATGACTATGCAGGACCGACTCAAGAACGCTCCGGAGGGATCCTATACCAAGCGGCTCTTTGACGACCCGGAATTGCTCCGCGACAAGCTGGTGGAGGAAGCCCAGGAATTGAGCGAAGCCGAGACGAAGGAAGAGGTCGCGGGGGAACTGGCGGACGTTTTGTACTTTGCCATGGCCCGGGCCGTCAAGGCCGGTGTGAGCATCGACGACGCCGTTGCCGTCCTGGATGGCCGCACCCGAAAAGTGACGCGGCGCAAGGGAGATTCCAAGGCCTTTCGGATCGAGGAGGGGGCCAAGATTCTCGCCAAGAAGTAGACTGGATCACTCAAAGGGTGCTGCGAAGGAGAAACCAAATACGAACGAACGAACGACCCGGAATGTCTTGCGTTGGGGTATTGTGCTTGGCTGTACTAATTACCGCAATCAACCTTGAGAGGAAAGCACAGACTGCTTCCCGTCTCTGGTTCAAAAGTGGACAAATACGAAAATTGAAACCACTCTTTGGAAGCAGTAGCGTAACAGTATAGTAACATAGTGCTTTTAAGTTGTGCGGGAAACACAGAAAACTTCTTTCGGCGTACCCTTGTTGAATCACCGATTCAACTCCCGCATTCGTTTCCCGTGTTTGCGGCTGCCTCAGCTTTCCGTCTTGACCCTGGCGGCTTTGGCTGCGGCCTTGCTGCCACCCCCCACGGCGGTTCTGGCGGCGGCTGCTTTTGCGATTGCGTCCAGGTGCACCAGGGGACATTCCATCTTGGTGCCGTCCCTTGGGGGGAACTGGGGCTTGCCCCGGGCCGCACACCGGTGGCACTCCCGGCCGTGCTGGACCAGCAAGCAGTGCAGCTCGAGCTTGAGGTGGTCCGGAACGACCCCGTTGAGGTAGTCGTAGGCGCGCTCCCGGTTGTTTGCTTCCCTCGGCAGCCACCCGTGCTGCTTCGTGATCCGAAAGACGTGCGTGTCGACGGGAAAGTCGGCCCGACCGAGGGTGAAGAGGAGGACGCACGAGATGGTCTTGGGACCGAGGCCCTTGAAGCGGAGGAGGTCGTTCTGGATCGACTCGTTCGACTCGTCCCGGAGGTATTCCAGCGAGACGGCTCCCTTCTCCTCGTGGAGGGTTCGGCACATGGCGATGATGTTGGCGGCCTTTCTCTGGGCCAGGCCGCCGCAGTGAATCGCTCGCTCGATGACGCCTTGGTATTCCCCAAAGTCGTCCGCCACCGCGTTCCAGTCCGGGACGGCCTTCTTGAGGTTCCCAAAGGCGCGGGTGCTGTTGGAGGCCGTCGTGTTTTGCGACAACATGGTGGACACCACGCCGTCCATAATGCTCGGTTGGTGTCCGCAGGCCGACGGCTGCAATGCGGCATCGTCGTCATTGTTGTTGTTGTCGTCGCTGCTGCTGCTCCTGCTGCCCGAACCCTCTCGCTTCGGCTCGCGAATGTCCTTGTCGATCTCGCAGTCGCTCGCAACGTTGGTGGTGACCGTGGTGCGTCTGCGGATTTCGAGGCATTTCTCGATCACGTCGGGGTGGAGCTTTCCGAGCTCCGAGACGGCGAACTCGCATTCCTCGGTCGTCGGACGCACCACCCTCGGCGCCACCCTCTTTCTCTTGTTCGAGCCGCATTCGGCGAGGAGGGCCGCGGCCGCTGCCTTGGCCAAGATTGTCGCCTCGGCCAGGGACGTTACGGCGTCGGGCGCAACGAAGGACGACACCCTTGTCGAGGACACCGGACGGTCCGGAAGAACGGTGTCCGCCTTCGATGCGTGCGCGTCCGGGACGGGGGATGCCTCGCGGACGTGGCCTCGTCGGCCGGTGGTTCGGCCGCGAGGGTTCCGAGCCGATTTGGTGCCCGGAGAGGAGCCGACCGGGTCGGGAGATACCAGGGAGGCGTTGTTGCTTCCGTTGGTGGGGGTTGTGTCGCGCTGGGGACTGCTGCTGTCCGTGTTGCCGAAGAGAACGGGACGGGTGCGATTCCGAGTCGATCGTCGGCGCTGCTGCATTCCGCTGCACCCGGAGTTGTCGTTCGGAGGAGGATTCGTCGCCATGATTCTATTGAGCGTGATGCGGCGTTGGTGAAAAAACTAGGCCAACGCGAGGCGTAGCTCAGAGTGTTGCTCTTTGAGGGTCGCCGGGGCGGAAAAAGTGTGGACAGAATGCTGAATTCACCGTATTGTATGCAGGGGTGCGTACGACTTTCGTTGTCATTGCTTGTTGGTCCGGAGAGGGCCCCGTTTCTTGTTACGGTAGGGTACCTTACGCTGCGATACAATACGGCGGGATGTTGCCGAGATGATACGGATTTCGAAGGGTGAAAAAATCCTGACTAAGATTTTTTGGGTAGAGAAAGGAGGGATTTTGGGCGCGACAAATGCGCGCTCCGGGAATGAATGAGGGATAACCAGTCTTGTTTGTTCAGAAGCACGATGCGATGTACTACTATTCAATGTACTACTGTACTATTCATTTTCACCCCAAAAAGTAACTTGTAATTTCATCGCAAAATATTAAATTTTTCTGGAAAAAATAAAATTCGGTTTTTCAAGGATTTATTTCAAACTTATGACGCACTCTCTCATTTTTGATGCATCAGTTTGCAAGGTCATCAGCAAAGAATTTTTCGATAAAAAATAAATATGGGTTCGAACTTCCCGGTGGTTCGGATGTACTAGAAACTCCGTTACAAACGTACCGTTACGAAAACCGAAAAAAGGTTACGTACCTCATCGGCCTTTTTTCCCCACAAAAACTATCGTTCTGCCGTTGCTCATGCACGCGATCTTCATCACCATTGTTCATCCTGCTCCATCCACATCATCATTTTCCCTCGTTACTGTACTGCTKGGTATTCCAACACACTGAGTCTGAAGAAACGTCACGCTACAGCACTGTGCCCAAAACCACCCCGTACCACAAGTCGCAACAATCCGAAAATTCCAAAAAGCAGCATGCCGTTACCAAAGATTCTGGTTGCTGTCGTCGTTGAGGTGCTTCTCGTCTTGTCGCTGGTCGACGCATTTGTGGTCCAGAATAACAAGGCTCTCTGCCCATCCGTCCATCGGCAAAATGTCGACAACAATGGTGCTCTGTTCTTGTCCTCGGTTGGGGCCGACGAATTTCTAGTGAAAACACCCACGAGAAGCGGCAGCATCGATGTTCCTGCACGTGATTCGACGACAACAGCAACTAATGACCGAGGAAACGAGGACGCACCAGTGACAGAATTCTCGTCCGCCACGACAGCGGCAATGTCACCAGCAAGTCTGTCCATGGACGACGAATCCACAACAATATTAGATGCCGAGAAAGCAACTAGCACTCGAGAATTCACACCTTTTCAACAGGTCGTCCGTGCCCTACCGATTGTTACTACGGCAGCCTATTTGTACGATCCAAAGCCTTTGGACGATCTCGTTACCAACATCTACTCCGCAATCTACAACTGGGACCTCGCCCAGGTCCCCCTATTCGAAGCAGAGGTAGCCGTCTTTGGATTCTTTTCGTCGATCATCTTCTTTTCTTCCCTCCACCTCCTGTTGGGCGAGGAAAAAACCAAGGCATCGCGGTTCGACGGAGAACTCCCCCATAAGCCTTTCGAATGGGCCGAACCCCAGAACTTCCATCTTTGGTTCAACCCGACAGCTTCGTATCTGGGGTCCATCTGGTTCTATCTGACGTTTTTGCACGAAAAACCACCCATGCCAGAGGTTGCACCGACCTTCGGGGTGTTGGCCGTCGAAACCTTGTTCGGGGTGTTTCTTTACGATCTCTGCTTCATGCCGATCCATTACCTGATGCACAACCTGAAAATCGGCCAGGTCCGAAGGGTCCACGGATACCACCATCGAAGCGGGAATACACTGAACGCCCTGGAGACCGTCCAGCATTCCTATATCGATGGCTTCTTGCAGGTCTTTGTGAACATTATGGTCCAGAAAATCAGCCCCTTTGGCGGCCCCAAGCACGTCATGTCCCGGCTTTTGCACAACCTGGTTGTGACCTACCTCCTCTCGGAGGCGCATTCGGGTTACCGAGACCTGCCATGGATGACCCACAACCTTTTCCCCGAGATTCTGGGAGGAGCTCCCCGCCACGAGGCGCACCACCACAACGGGCGGGTCTATTACCAGCAGTACTTCAAGTACATCGACGATTTCTTTGGGTTTGTCGAAAAAGACGGAGACGAAAACAAGACCATACGGAGAGGGGTCGCACAGCGAAAGATGGAGCAACGGGAACAAAACGAAAAGGAAACCGAGGCCGATCGTATCATTGACCATCAATCATCGACGCACTGATTCCTCTGTTCCCAAATACATTCAGCGCGTACAATTTTGTAAATATCTATTATGGCATGCAACGCCATGACTTGAAAAATCATTCATAAATCATTGAAGATAGCAGATAATTCTATATTATTTTTCTGGTTCAACCAGGGAATCGGAACAGGAAAATGATTGGGAAAAGATAGACAGTCCGATGAAATAAAATATCAAGTCATGTATTGTTTTGATTCTCTTGTGCCCACTGCCCAATAGGAAGAGAAGAGTGTTATGGATCGATTCGAATCGCACCCCAACGGCAAGTCCTCTCGTTGATCGAAACAATCGATCCATTAGTACCAATCCCCTCCACCGGTTCGTTTTTCCACAACGATAATGTGGTGGCCAAAATTCGTCAGGACCGGCCCCACCATGTCACCGACTCTGGTGTCGGGGTTGAAAATGGCCTTGTCAAACTCGGGAACCATGGTTCCAGGCGAGAAGCTCCCCAGGGATCCACCCTGGTTCGCCGAAGGGCAGGTCGAAAATTCCCTGGCGCAGTCCTGGAATGTTTTCTCCCCGGAGGAAATCATTTTCATGATCACCTTGGCCTCCCCCTCGGACTCTACCAGAATGTGCCGGGCTGTGGCCCTGACCTTGTCGGGGGGCGGTCCGTATTCCTCGTTCGAAAAGGCTTTGGCAATCCCATCGAAGAGGCCCATGCCGAGGGTCGACGACGTCTGTGTTGCCGACGCTGTTCGGGGGGCCGTCGGGAGGAAGGCTTCCGCGGTTGGCGGCGCAACAAACAACAGCCACGATGCCAGTAGAATGGTTGCCAGGGAGGAAATTTGCGAAAAGAATGCCATCTTTGGTTTTAGTTGCTATGCAGTGAGGTAGTAGTGAGTTGGGTTCATTGGGTCTACCGATCCGTGTTCTCTGCTCTTACCATACCTGAAACTCCTTGCTTCAAATATCGTACTTCGTACTCTCGATAGAGCTAAGAATTTGGCATGAAAAACTGAAACACACATCCGCATTGAAACGTGGCCGCCAGGATACCACATTTCCCCTATCCGAGTAGGAGTCGTCACTGAGTCACTCTCTTATCTCTTATTGGTACTACCGTACGTATGGCATTAAAACTATGATACGTATGATACAGCATCATATTTACTGTACTGTACTAACTTACGTTCCGTGTACGTAGCTTCTAACTTTAGTCTTGATGGGTGATGGATACCTTTGAATCTTTTTTTCCTAAACGTACGGTTCTCGTACAGTAGTTTCAGCGTAAAACATGCTCTGGCGCAATGAAAACCACTCCACTCGACAGAAATCTACCATCGCTGAAGAATTCAACAAAACGAAAACAACTCATGGGAATTGTCAAAGAAACTCCATCAAAACCACTGAATTCGAAACAACTCTCGAGATTGGTTTGCTGAATTTTTTGAAAAAACACCCAATCCGCACGAAATAGTGGTTTATCTACGGAACTACGAACCGAATATTTTGGATTTTGCAGGATTCGCGACGTGCCAGCGATGCTTGTCATTATGGGGCTTGCATCTTGGATGCAATGGCCCGGCTAGAAGTGATACGAGTCGACGCAAAAGAAACCAAGACAGAGCCATGTATACTGATAGCAAAGCAACACGGCATCAAACCTAGAAAAAACTAACCAAAAGCAATGCGACACAACCAAAGAAACATGTTTTCTTGGAACGCTTGGTTTTCTACTAGGTAACCTTCAACATCGCATCGCTTCGTCCCTTCCTTTCGCACTTCCACCGCTATTCACTTCCTGCCATCCGGGATCATCGTTGCTGGAGATCGCATCACTCGGAAAAATGTTTCCGAACCATTCCTATCACAAAATGAAAACCGAGAATCCTCGATCCAGCCGCATCAGCAACAACGTCGATGACCACGACGCCAAGCACACATTCAGCCACGACCACACTACCAAAAAGACAAAGTCCACCGTCACCATGAAAGTCAAGCAAGTCCGAAACTGGTTGTCCGAGCGCAGCGACCACAGCGGTAGCTACCGCCACCTCGGAAAGGACGAAGGGGGGGAAACAATCGCGAGCGGGCACCACCACAAAATCGGTTGCGGCGATGGGATCCATCGCGGCGGGGACAAGGAAGGAGACGGGTTTGACGATGCGTTGTTCGGAACGATCGAGTCCAAGCCTTCCACCGCGTCCACCGCCACCAGCACCGACGTCATGGCGGACGGCGGCCGCGACGACGAGGAGGAGTTCTTTGCGGTTACCAAGGGGGGCGACTACCGCCGGGATTGTTCCGGCGAAGCCACCGTCACCGGCAGGGACCACCTCCAACTCCTGAAAAAGCAGGCACCGGTGGTGCAAACCGAGCGGGGGCACGCTGGTTTGTTTCCGCCGCCGTCGTCGTCTTGCTCCTCCGCATCGTCTTGCTCGAGCGGCGGCGGAAGCTCGGAGCCACACAACGACCCCAACAACACCTTTGACGGCCGCGGCCATGACAAGCACGGGGCTTTTTCCACGCTTTCCGTCGGTCGGCTTGCCCTGACCAAGGCCGCCCTCGACGCCATGAGCGGGGTTTCCGCCGGAGACGAACCGCCGCGGAAAACCCTCGGCGAGCACCTGCTGGAACTCGACGCGCGAAGGGACCAAGGCAAGAGCGACGGGAAAGGAGAGAACCACAACAACAAGGCCAGCGATAGCGACAGCACCGGCGACGACACCAGCACCGACAGCAAGGTCCCCTCGATCGCCCCCGGGGTCCTGGTCTCGAAAATGGCCGCCGTCTTTTTGAACAACGGCGGTCACAGCGAGGCGAGAGAGGCTCTTTTACTAGGGGAAGCCCCCGCGGGTCCTTTCGTGGAACGCCGCCGGTACGTCGATCCCAGGGAGCTCCCGTTTCTGAACGGTGCCGGCAGCTTCCAGGACCGCCAGAACAAGGGTCCTTGCCCGGCTGCTTCGGCCAAACCCGGCCTCGCCCCCCCGCCTCCCACCACCGCCTTTGGCAAGGGGATGCGAACCTTTGGGAAGAACCACAAGAAGAAGACGCTCATCGAGCGCCGCAAGGAAGAACTGCACGAAAAGTTCGAGGGCAACCGGGCGGTGACCTTTGTCAAGAGAAAGACCTGGTCGCAGAAGACGGCCCACGGGGTCTACCAGCGCAGGACCGTTGTGGACAAGGTCTACCAGGAGAACGTCTACAAATAAACACGGTGCATCATCGAAGCGAAGACAAGACAAGGACAACAACAATGATTCATGGGTGGTGCCGAACAAATCGAGGCGAGCGAAGCCAATGCAAGCAAGCAGACGAGTGAAAAAAGCGATCTGCACAAAATCCATCGCAACAGAAGTCGTCGTCCGGAATGGCATCTATTACACACACGACGAAACTTTTCTTGTTGTTGGTCGTGGTGCTTCGACGATGTCCGTCCGGACGCGTGTAGGAAGAGTGAGAACAAAAATTTGTGAACAACACTACTAGTAGTCTAGTAAAGAAACAAATACTTCTACTGTTTTCAGATATCTTTTGATAGTGCAATATGTATGTACTTCACAGGTAACTTTTTCGTCAGCACACTAGTACCATACCCTATCGTACGTACTCCATAATACTAGATATTAATGTTAAGGTATTAGAACTCATATTGTTTTTTGTTTTTTTCTGCCCGCGCCGCCCCCGTTCCGTACCAAATGCCATGCCCTACGATACGTACGTACGGTAGGAAAATGATTGCGATGTGTGATTGAGAGCTGAATTTCTATGAGTCAGTCGAGCCATGTGATTCGTCAGAATCGGCTTGGAGCATTGAGTCGGCTCGTATTTTTCACAAGAACTCCTTTTGTGTTTCGCGTCTGTGGAGAACAGCGCTCTCCCAGAATAGGGTGCAACTGCGTTCATCCCCCCGTGGAGGTCACACATTCCACCGCATTGACAGAATACAGGAAAGGAAAAAATGGCAAAGACTACCAAATTGGTGTCCGACCTCAAGGCCATCGGTGAGTCTCTCACCAAGGAGACTCTGAAGGACGGCATTCCGTCCCCGGCCCGGTGCTCCGAACTCGTCGCGTCCATCGCCTCCATTGCCTCGGAGCACAAAGTCACCATCTCCGTTCTCGAGGAGACCAGGATCGGAAAGGGCCTCACGAAAGCCACCAAGGTCTTTCGGCGTCACAAGCGCACCGCCGATGACGCGGACGCCGACGAATGGGAGGCCTGCATCGTGGAGACGAACAAGCTCCTCGCGAGCCTCAAGGAACAGGTCGCCCGGGAGGAAAAGGAACTGAAGGAGAACAGGCAGAAGGCCGCGAGGAAGGAAGCCACCGAGGCCGGCCTCCCGAAAACGGTGTCCGCATACAAATCCCGGCTGGAATCCCAAAAGAAGGACATGTATAAAAATCCCCCGGCGATGCCTCCGTCGAGCATCGCGATCGAAGAAAAGTGGATCCAGGCCCCCCCGAAACGGAACAAAACGACGGGGGAGCTCACCTTCGCCGCCGGAACCGACAAAAGCATCTCCCAGATACTCAAGGACTTCCACCCGAATCTCACCCCCGAGGAAGTGCTGCGGGCCGGATCCTTCGGGGGCACCTATTTTCGTCCCATCGTGTCCGCCGTCACCAACGTCCGCTACAAATCCAAGGACGTCCTGCGCGATTCGGTGGAACCGGAATGGATCGAGGGCCTGGACGCACCGACCATGCTCACGTCCACGGCATACCTGAACTTTGTCAACAAGTTCAAGGTCAAGTGCGGGGGGAGCCTAGGCATGTGGGAATCCTCCGGCTGGATCAGCGATGCGGATCCGTACGGGTGGTTCCAGTGGTATTGCCGGTTCTACCGGGGGAGGCGCTGCGCCGATGACCAGCGGCAGATCAGCCGGTGGCTGAAGAGCGCGGGGCCGAAGGGGAGGTTCCGTTCCCAGCTCTGCAACAAGATCTACGCGGCGGGGGGCATGTGCAAGCTCAACGATGCCAAGATCAGCCCCGTGATCCGGCAAACCATGCTGCACTGGGGGCTGGATATCACGGCGGACGTTCTGACAAAGCACGGGAAGAGGGTCGGCAAGATACCCTAATCGAAACAAAAAGATACGGAACAGGGAATGGTTTTGTAGGTTCTTCTATCGAAAACCGATGAATTCAAGGATTGTTGAGGTAAAAACTCAAACTTTTTAGCCGGTGGTGTGCATCCACGAGGCTGTCGAGAACACTTTTTTAAGTAATGAGTTTGTGTTTAGAAGCGATGGAAGGATCCTGTTATCATTCTCTCACGTCGGTAGGGAAATGGTGAAGAATAGCAAAATGACTACAGACTTTTGTTGAAGTTCGAGGTTCCGTAGCCACAGGCATGCTGTGACAGCATGAAGTTTCTCTTTCTTGTGATAGAAGGATAACCCTTTCATTCATGACACAATCACTTAGAAGAAGATTACTGACGACACCTGCCATTCATACAAAGCTTAGTGCAAATTTGTCATCTAACATTGAGAAATGAAGTAGTGATTGAGAAACAGTAACAAAAAGTTGTTTCAAAACAATGATGAGACTAAATATGAAAAACCATCAATACTGGAAACTGACTTTGAGCAATAGGAAGCCTAGATTAAGTATTTTATCAGGCGTTTATGCGCATTGTTAAGGAGAACTTTTTTGCATTCATGTGCATTGCTAAGGAGAACTTTCTTTCACAGTCATTTCTTGTTTGAAAGAGGTGCACCACATCATTGTCACAATTGCATTTGCTGTGTCAATTGCATGTGTAATTTTGTGTGAATAATAAATTTGAATAATGCACATGCTCATTTCCAGTTTGAAGTACTGATTCTGCACATTCTACATAGTCAAATTTAATTGGGGGTTAAATGAACCTTTTCATGAGTGTTAATTTAATTGAGGACATTCTTTTGAGAACAACCAAAAGTGGGCATGGGAACATTTATTTGGGAACAGAGGAAGTATCAAGCTAGAAGTTGGTACTAGTAATATTAGCACTTTGGAAAGTTTGTAACTGCTGTTCTCAATGCCATACTACTAGCTAGTAGTCTGGTGCTGGTCCAGCAACAAAGGGGCAACCATGATTTCTACTTTGCATTGGTGGTGGTGTGTAGACAAAGTTAAGAAGACCTTTACTTTTTTCTCTCCTTGCTCTTGTAATGTTGAATTGTTATGAAACTCATTGACAGAGTGCTGGTGTGCCAGAAAATAGTTTTCTCATAATCATGTTGTGCTGTAGTAAAGATGACAGTTGAACATTTTGAATCAAATGTTTTGGCCAAAATATTGGGGTGAAGATAAGCAAAATAAAAATGGGCAAGGAGCAACAACTTGTTGTTTGGTTCCAACCAGCTCCTCTACTCATAATGATGAAAACAGCAGATATAACACAATATGGTAAGTGACAAAGAAGAAGATTTCTTTGTGAAGCACAGTCATGAAAATTATTTCTATGATTAATGAAAAGTGTCCAATCAATAGTCCTTGGTAACCTCAAGTAACTTGTAGTATGTACCAATGCCTCTAGTTTTGTTCATTAGTATGATCTAATGCCATTGGTTTTGTTCCATATGATGCTGGTTATCATATTCTTAGTATTGTAAGAAAATTGATTTTGCATTCAATGTGAATCATGTTTTTACTATTAGTTATACTAGTACTAGGAATAGTGGTAAATACATATCTTAGTTGTATTCTGTGCTTCTACTAATAGTACTACTAGTAGTATGATTGGTATCATTTACCAGCACATTCCTCTACTTCTAATACTAGACCATTATCTTCATAGCAAGTACTGCCGGTAGTAAAATTCCAATGTTATTGTTTGCTTTACCTTGCTGGCTATTGAGAGGCGGTGTATGGGCTACAAACTGATTCCACGATCTGAGGATTCTGTTGGATGGAATGGGAGTTAGTAGAAGAAGAATGGAACAAAAAAACAAAAACCCAGGCTCTTGCCAATAATGGTGTGTTCAATGGTCCTCCAATCATTCTACCAATTGTTTGTTGGTTGATATGTTGGAAGGGAGTACATGGGCTAGAGATTCATTTGTTGAAATCACACTGATTCCATCTGCTGAGGATTATGTTGGGTGGAACGGGGTTTAGAATGGTCAAATAGTGCAAAATCCACTAGTTTCCTGTGTCTGAATATATGTTATTTATGTTATGGAGTCAATTTTGGCTAATGACATGTAAAAAAGGTCCTGTTAAGATGCACAGGGCCCCAAACACTTTTTGTGAAATATTAGTACTAAGTTCAATTATTGCATAAAAAATAGAGCCTTGATCATTTTACTTCTTGCTCTTCAAAAGCACTGTGCTAAATTGTACTGGTGATTTGATACAATTAAGAAGTTGCCTCCTCAGTTAGGTAACCCCACCACCCACCCAAAATAAATAGCCCTGACAATTCCAATTTTATACTCATACCATGAAACCACCACAGAACAGCAGGCAACAATGCAATTGCTATGTATTTTGATTTAGTATGCCTCTAATACAACATTGAAACAAGAAGAAGTTATTGGGCAGGCATACTAGTAGTAGTACTAGCAGCACTACTACTCGTCATTTCATCATTTGATTGGACATATATGAATTAATGTGTCTGGCGTTTGTTTATCTCACATAAAATTACTCTTATTAGTAATATTAGTAGTTCTTTTTGTGGTTGTACTACCACTACTGCACTACTACTGGTCATAGTATGATGGTGGTGGTGAAATCTTGTTCATGATCATGGGGTATGTACTAGCAATAGTGAGTATATTAGTGATCTCAATCATGCACTATTTTCAAAGAGTCCCAGTGGAATTGTTTTTGTGAAATTGTAGACCAGCAAAGCAAAGCAATAGTAGATCACAGATTTTTGTTCCTCACACCACATATTTGTTGTAATATTTGTCAATCAGCAAGCTCCAAAGCTATTTTATCAGGCATCTTTGAACAAGAAGACAAGGAGGGATGTCATCTGAATGACCAAAACTTCCACCATGGTGAAATCACATGTAGTAACAAGAAGGTGCAGAAACACTCATAGGAAATGAAGCAAATAGACCATCCCACCTGTCGCCCAAAGCACATGCAAAATTATTGCCTGCAAACCAGTAGTTTAACTAATACTACGGATATCATAACAAATGATCGCCACACTAAGAAATTTGTTTCCATTGTTATTTTAATGATGCCATCCTTAATTTTTTCAGTACAAATTCTACAGAGCTCTACTGAGTGTTGCTCCCCAAAATTTTCAGCATGTTTTGCCTTCTGAGAAAGAAGGAGGATTGGTTCTCTGCCACCAGAATAGTTGCAAACTACCTCAGTACATTTTGTACTGTGTTCTACTGGGCTAAGGATGGCATCATTAAAATAACGATGGTAACCAATTTCTTAGTGTGGCGATCATTTGTTATGATATCCGTAGTAGTAGGGAATACAGATCATTCTTGCAATTCTGTATTGTTCCATAAAATGGAAAAATATGGTGCAGAAGTTCTTCCAAGCCCAGTACTAGTAGCAGTGGTGGCTACAAAGCACACAAATATCATCTTCTTCCACCCTATTTGGAAACTACTACTAGTAGTAGAGTAGATAATTTCTTCAAGAAGCAAGAAGAAGCAAATGAAGGAGCTTCTACTTGAAAATTAAGAAACAAGAATTCAATTAGTACTATATTGCCACTCCATTTGCAGTCAACAAGAACATTCTCAATTTATTTTGCAGTAAGAATGCTCCATGAATTCTCAATATCGTCTAAATGTAGTAGCATAGTAGTATCCTCCTCCTCATTGCTGATTTGTAACTGATGACAGAAAAGTCTCTTCTTGTTGGGTTTTCAGCTTGTCATGAGCTAGGGGAAATATCTTCCCATCAATATTACTACTACTACTAGTGCTGGTGGTTGATAACTTTCTGGTTTTCTTCTTCTTCTTCTTCTTCTTCTTCTTCTTAGTAGTAGTAGTAGTAGTAGTAGTAGTAGTAGGATTATGGTCATAGGAATTTGAAGATACAATGTGCCCCACACACCACCAGCAAAAACCAGTGGTGGCAGTGTGTACTAGCAGCATGAAGGAAGACTCCACTAGCCAAAAACATCATTGAAGTGTTTCTTCTTCTTCATGCTGGTGGTATTTCCTTCTTCTTGCTGTTGTTGTTCTTGTTAATCGTCCTCATGATGCTACAACAAGATGAAGAGGAAAAAGATGAAGAGCAAAAAATATGAGTATTACTAGTAGTTGTATGATTACTTGAAGTAGTACTAGCACCAGTAGCTACTAGTACTAGCACTAGTAATACTACTAGTACTACTACTCCTAGTAGCAGTAGGACGAGTAGTTTTTTATTGTTGCGGCACCATTCTTTGGTGGTGCACATGTGTAGATAGCCTTCAACAATAGAACTTCTAATGAAAGCCCTGTTGGAAATCCATACTCCTAGCATGGTTACAGAAGTGGTGGTACTAGATGTTAGTTACCAGATGCTAGATATCACCATGGCTTTTTCTTGTGGGTTGTCATAGTGCGTCGTAAAGTCAAGTTTGTGTTCTCCAGAATCATTGGGAGCACACGTGCAAACGAACCCGGTTAGCTCAGTTGGAAGAGCGCTCGGCTTTTAACCGTGTGGTCGTGGGTTCAATCCCCACATCGGGTGAATGTTGCGCTGTATCTGCACCAGTGGTTTAGTGGTAAAATCCAACGTTGCCATCGTTGGGCCCCGTGTTCGATTCACGGCTGGKGCATTTTGGTGTGACATCGCCAAGCTAGCCCTTGGTCGCGGGTTCAAACCCCGTCTCGAGCATTCCCGCGCTCGTGTAACTCAGTGGTCAGAGTGGGGGTCTTATGATGCGAGTCCACCTTTTTTCAATCTCCTCACTACATGGACTTTTTTGTACTGTAATTGAAGGACTTGTACCACGGTAGGGATACACCCTGTATCTCAATACACGAATCTTTTCCTTACTCTGAAGTTGGATCAGATTCCCTCGGACTAAAGGGGAAGTATGATACGAACGAGTACCGTACTACGAAGTACTGTAAAGAAGACATCCGATAGATTCGATTATTGATTCTTTTTCTACGTACGGTACGTACTCGTACGCGTTTTTGAGATGAACAGATTCGATTGGTTCGGTTCGTACCTTCAATGGCTAGTGATCATGGTAGTCTTTTTAAACTCAAAGTCAACGCACGTGGGTGGGAAGACCGTTGTTTCTAATAAGTACGAGTACTAAGGTATTAGAAACAACGAAGTATGTAGAGGATTGGTAGCTCCATATGTATTGTACGTTGAACCACGCGAGGAAAGATTTGTTTCTTCTTGTAAGGGTCCTTTCAGTCGTTTTTAAAAATTCGAAGAAAACGTGTGCGCTTGCTATGACGCGTACGGTACTCGTACGTATGGGGTACACCCGGAATGCTTTTTGGCGCTCACGAGCCGGACGTGCTTGATGCCTTGCCTTCCGTTGCGCATCACGTACGGTGGTTTTTACAGTAGTTTTCAACAACCGGCAAGGGCAAGAATATCAAAATCACCCATTTTGCACTCAAAGACACGAAACTCCTCTACGGTATCGTACCGCACAGAACCCAAGGCACCCCAGATAATCGACATAGCCAATCAGAACACTAGCTGAAAGAAGGGATCATCACTCTTGCTGTATTTTCTGCTGTCCCTATTCCTCATCCATCTGGTGCAGATACCGTACGAGTAGCGTACCGTGCCGCTCCAACTCACTCACTCCGCAACAACAAAGCGATCGAACTATCAACAACAAGCAACAACACATGCGCAACACACAGATTCATATTTGCGCAATAGAGATTCCCTTTTCCATACCCTTGCGATGCAGTCTTCGTCTTGCTTCGGGTCCTCCTGGAAAGATGTCTTCTGCGGTCCTCGAAACGACGGCGCCAGCGGGGACCACCCCAACCAACCCGGAGCCGAGATCGACGGCGAGGCGGACTGCGGCTTTGATTCCGACGACGGCTACGAGGAAGACGACGAAGACTACCTGGACTACTGCGACAGCAACAAGATCGTCGAGCTCACCGTCCGGAGGGAACTCTTGCTGGTCGAGCTCCAGGAACTGGTGGACGCCAGGACGCCCCAGCAGGCCGCGGCAGCGATTGCCGCCATGGACCGCGAGTCGGGGAACGACGACCAGCTCCTGAGGTTTCTGCTGAGGGCGGGGACGCTGAGGATCCTCCGGAACCGGCTGCTGAAGGAGGGCGAGGACGAGGACGAGGGGGGACCCGACGAATCCTTCCACCAGGAAGAGAAGAAAGAAGACGATGCCGGCAGGGACGCGGACGCGGGTGCTTCTGCCGACCCCTGCGAGTCGTCTTGCTGCGGGCCCATACTCTCGCCCTCGGCGGCACAGCCTCTTCTGGAGAAACTTTCCTACCACCACGAGCTGCGGCGATCGCGGCTCCTGGAGAAGAAACGACAACGGAGTTCCTGGACCAGGATGGTTGGGATTTCGTAGGGGCGGCACGAGACCACACAACGAAGACGATGCTTTGCCATCTACGACAGTGACAAACGGGGTGGAACGGGAAGGGACGGGTCGGGACAGGCTTTTTGCGTGTGGGAACAACGCCAAGGGGCCGGGCAGCTCCACGGGAGCTGCATGCCCGGTTGCGCCGGCGAGCTCCATCGATTGAATCGATTGGGATCGGAACACCCAGCCAAGGCACAACGATTTGGGACGGAACTCGCTTTTTTTGGAACGAACGAGCAGGCGCCACAACGACATTATCTATCTGCTGTTCCTCTGCTGGAACAAGGAAGACCATCGGCATTCGCTGATCCTTTCAAGACCATGATGGACAATGGACAAGGGACGATCGAGACAATTTGTGGACGGTAGAAGGTACACGGATGTATTATTAATTTGTAATGATGTAACAGTACATTTTATTTGTATCAAGGGTTTAGAGGACGGTGCGTTAAATGCTCGGTTGTAGAGTCGTTGGTGATGGGCATCGGTCGTCCCGTTTTCGAAAGCGAGGGTTTCGGTTCTACAACGGGGCAAAAGCTTCGAACGACGACTCGTTCGCAAACAAGCGTCTCGTGGCGCGGCGTCGCAACCCTTCCGTAGTTACCGTCCACTCGCGTCGCGTCCGACCCAGGCAGCTCCTACGCCGCTGGGATCCCATCCCATCCCATCGCTTGGCGACGGCTTTCGTTGCCCCGGAACCGCAACGGGGATCCATCGGCTGCGCACCCGGTACGGTTGGCACCGGGGAATCTTTGTTCTGGGCAGCGGCAACAAGGACTTTCTCTTTTTCCGTCGAGCAAAGACCCCGCCTTGCGACGCCACGCGGCGGGACGGATCCGCTGTTTGCGGGGGGGCATCCTTCCCCCGTCTGCCGGTCGGTTGTTTGTTTGTTTGTTGGTTCGTTGGTTTGTTTGTTTGTTCGTTGGTTTGTTCGTTTGGTTCGTTCCTGCCGGCCTAGTGCAACCCGCCGCCCCCGGCTTGGCCCGGCGGGGGCTTTTGCCCGGTGATGCGGAACCGCTTGGTGGTGTGCCGTGCGATGGAAGCTTCGTCGGGGAGGAGCCCGCAGATGGATCGCAGGGTGCCGGAATGGCCCTTGTCGCCGCTTCGCTCCGCGGCGGCCAGGGCGGCCCGATACCTGTCAAGCGTCCCCCCGGGCCGGCAGTCGGGGACCCTCCCGGCCAGGTCGTGGTCGTAGTAGCCCGGATCGTAGAAGGAATCGACCCGGACCATCTCCCGGAGGGGGGAGAATCCCCGGACCGAAGCGGCCATCCCCGAGGCCGCCACAAAGTCCTCGCTCCGGTACTCGCATCCTTCCCCCCAGGCGCCGCAAGCACTTTCTTCCTCCCCCCCGCAGCGGACCACAAAGTTCTTGAGCGCGCGGACGCCACACCCGCCGCTGGAACCCCCGCGCCCGGGGTCTTGGTCTTGTTGTTGTTGCTGCTGCTTCCATTCCCGTTGCAGGTGAAAAAGAAACAGGTCGTCCAATACCCGGAGGGCACCCTGGAGCTGCAGGTTCGGCCCGCCATCGGACAGGATCGAATCGGCCATCCAGGCATCGCAGATTGCCGTCGGTGTAGTTTCCGAGGATGGTGCCGAATCGCTTTGATCGCTGCTTTGGCTTTGACTTTCGCCTTCGCCATGGTATGGACTGCTATCGTAGCTGGGTCTCTGTACGAGAGCACCGGCAGTCAAGAATCGTTTTCCACGGTTGTCCTTCCTGTCTTTGTGGTTCTGTTTCTTCTCTTCGGACACGTCGTGCATCATCACTCGGATCGATGACGCTTTGTATACCGACGAGGACGTTGGTTCGGTGCTTTCCAGAGGGTCGTTGGACGGTACGCCGTCGGCGAACGACTTGACGCTCCTGAGGCAGACCTCACCGGGTTCCAGGTTCTCGTCTTCGTCGACGAAACCCTCTTCGGCGTCCTCGATCCAAATCCTCGGTGGCACCAGCGAACGCACCGACAACGACAACGACAACGCCATCGGCACCGGCGGAGAAGAGTAGAAGGGTGGAAAATCTGGACGCCCGCTCGCACCTGGTCTCTGGTTGCTTGCGTTGGCACCCGCAACCGTGTTTGCACCCGGCGTGACGACAAATCCCGAACAGGGCTCGATCCTTGTGGTTGCGTGGAGTCCTGCTAGCAGCAAACCGACTGCTACGGTAGCCTTCGTGGGTATGTAGTTGCTGCTGGTCTTCATGATGGGTAGGCAACGCCTTGTTTGTATCTTGTCCGTGATTCGAATCTTACGGTATCGATCCATACCTTGTTCCATGCTCATCGGGTAAGTACGGTACGTAGCCGGATGGAAAACGACGGGGACGAGGGTGAATAGTTGTATTGTATTGGAAACAGACACCGTGCTGAGTGGTGGGAGATGATACAAGTTCGGTATTCGTACCGGTACTCGTACCGGTACTTCGATTGATCATTTCGAGACGGAGAACGCACAATAAGATGAGACTGTCTGTGCACGACTGACTGACTAGATTCGCCGTTCGCAACCTATGTTTAGTATGGACATAGAATATGATCCTGTCCTACCGGTACAGCACGTCGTACCGTTATGAGTTATGACCCCAGATTCATGCGAGACTAGTGCAGTGACTAAGGTACGATACAGTACCACAGGATCGATTTCGTACGTACGGTACGTACCGTACAGAGCGTACGGTACAGTACTGACCATGCATTGCTACAGTAGATCATTGTGAACGTCCCGTATCCGTAGAACTTCCGTAGGTATTTAAAAGTACAATGCTACGCATTGTTCCGTACGGTACGTACGGTACTCTAGCGCGAAATAACTGTTATGAAACCGCCAGGTTGTGACACGGAACGAAGAACAAAGACACCCCACCAATTTGTTGACGTCTTGAACCCTCTAACAGACTTGAAGAATATATAGTAGTTTGTTTTCTTGTCACCCCATTCATATTCACCCATCAAGGTCTTTGTTTTGCTTGCCAAACACGGGCCAAAACAAAAACCAGTATCTTCTCATCCTTTGCGCGGACAACGGCCATGGTTGCACCACGACTCTCGCCACGAAGAACCACCGGGCGGATCCGGCCGCAAAGACTGCCGGCCTTTCTGATCTGGTGTTGCCTGTGGTGCCCTTCCGGTCCCCGGTCCCCGCTGGCTAGGGTGGCTGCCACCGGCACTAGGACCGCGGTCGGCGGTCGCGATCGCCATCGCCATCGCCTTGACCAGCCCGTCGTGGCGAGGTGCTTCACCGAAGAAAGCGGCGGTCCAAGCGAGCCGGCCGCTGCGACGAAAAGCACCAAAGCACCGAACCCACCGCCGGGCCCCGGACCCGAATCCGGCTGCACCTCCCGGTTTTCCCGGCTGCGCCTGGAGTACAGCGTCCCCTTGGCGCTCCGCTCCGACCGGGCCGGCGACGACTATGACTACGAGTACGACTTCCAGATACTGCAGAAGGACTGCAAGGAACCCTTTGCGGAAGGAACCGAACCCTTCCGAACAGGCAACACCGCCAGGCGGGGCAGGGACCAGAGAATCCTCGAGCTCTACGCTCCCCACGCCATTCCCCCTTCGGTGGCATCCTCGTCGCCGTCGCCGTCGGGATCGCCGGTGGTGGAGTTTTGCGTCCTGGGGAAGATCTCGGACCCAAGCGCGAACCACGGGGGAGAGCACGCGATCGAAACCAATCTGTCGGTGGAATATTCCTTTCGTGCCACCCGCCCCAGAATCGTCCGGCACCGAGAGCCATTGCCGGAAAGCAAGGGGCAGGGGGCCCACGGGAACCGAGGCGAAAGCAAAAACGAAGACGAAGGCAGCAAATACATTACCGTATCCGAAGTCCGAGGTCTCCTGCGCAACAGTGTTTTGTACATGGTGGTGGACAGAGTCTCTGCATCCGTTCCATCGACCGCGGAGAAGAAAGAGCAGGATCGGCGGGAACAACGGCGGCTGCAAGAACAACAAATACAGCAGCGGGTCCGGTTTCATCAGCTTCGACAGGAGCAACGGCAACAACAGCGTCAGGAGCAACAGCAATATCGGCATCGACAACAACATCGTCTGGAGCAGCTGCAAGGAAAGAAGCAACAACAATATCGGCATCGACAACAACAACGTCCGGAGCAGCTGCAACGGAAGTTAGCAGCACGCGAAAAGGGCGCGAATCGACAATAAAGAGCTGCATCACGCGAAAGAGACAGAGTTTAACATGATTGCACTAGTTCTTTGGATTTCGAGATGGATTCTCTTACACGTCAGGAAGAATCATTAGATAGATAAAGATAGAGAGACTGAGCTAACAATACAACTAAGCGGTGTCTGGAAAAGCTCGAGAAACTGGTTTCGTCTACAATTCCCTCCTTTTGTAATGAGATAGAAATGTCAACAAATCCCGGGGTTCGATGCGATCGTACGTCCACGAGAGATAAACCGTGCCTTCACCGGTGACGGAGAGTGGTGAAGTTATTCCATAGCAATATTCTGAACCACCGCGACAAAACTGTCCATTTGGGTAAGTGGACAGGAAATAATCTACCCATGTTTCGACATGAATTAATTCCAAGACTCTTGCGACCGTGTTCAGCGGGTTTTGTGGAAGCGGGAACCGAAAGTAACTCTCCCATCCAAGCTCGCAAAAGTGATTTTTCTGTGCTCTATTCGACCGTTTCATGACTTCCTTTTTCCATTCGCTGTTTTCTTCGCCTCCGTAATCGAACAAGCACGTACCGAAGACAACAGTGGGCCAGTTCATGGAATAACCATAGTGAATTGTTTCGCCCTCTACGGAGCACTCCTGTGCCATTTCGTGAAATTCGCCGCGACCTATATAATCCAACACATTGGACCAGCCTATGCTCCGAGGCCTCTGAGATGCGATGTAATCGATTGCATCCTGAACCTTGGTGCACCGAAGCTCAACAGTGATGAGTTTTCGGCTACACCACGACACAAGTTTTGCGACGCGTTCACATGCGTACTTTTCTGCAGCATCCAGTATGGTCATACGAGAATCTTTCTTTGCGAGCTCCATTACTTTCTCGAAGTCGAGAGCTGAGAAGACAGTCTCGTTTGAAGGAGGAGGTGGTGTACCGTCGGGACAATCGAGATAGACAATGCTTCCACAAACAGGATTGGTAACACCAAAGTCACCAGTCAATTGATATTTCGCCATCGCGATGCGATCTTGTTTTTTCTTCAATAGTCCTATACTTGCCCCTGCATCAGTTTTGAAGGACTGAATCTTCAAACGAGCCTCCTTCAAGGGTAGAGGAGAAGCACGATGCCAGTGCTGTAGAATCGATCGAACTTCAGAATCAAAGTGCCTCGCAGGCAAAGAAAGGAGGGAAGAAAGTGCAGCCTTCACAGCGGGTTCCGTACCTTCCGACCAAGTTGTACTGAACCAGACTTGAATGATATACCATTTGTACAAATCACGTTCTTCCGTACTTGCTGCCGACCCCGCGTATTGGATGAGTTCCCAGATGAGAGAAGTCTTTGCAACGACATATGCACTCGAGTCGATTCCAATGTAACGCAGTGGCGACGTTCTGAATTCCAATGAATCTGATGCCATCAGAAAGCCAAGATCCACGAAGCCGATAGCAACGTGAGTCTTTCCGTCGATGAGCACGTCTGAATTTTGGGGGGGTTGTTGATTGCTGTAACTGTATCTTAAGCAATTTGCATGTTCTAAAGAGAGACACTCTTCGAAAATATCACCGGGCTGTGAGGATAAATACCAGAACAATTTGGAAGGATGATTGGTCATCAGTCGTTTCATCAATTCTTTCGGATGGGGTGCATAATCGGGTCTCTGCAAGTGCAATTCAAACATGTGAGGCAGCATACATTCACTCTCATATACTTGGCGCAAGTATTCATTAGCCCATTTGTGGTCGATGGCTTTGGGAAATCCTCCTCCTTCTTTGATAAGTTCTACGCGAAAGTTTTGTAAAGGTTCGATTTTCCTTCCAAACAATGCGGTAGCGTTCTTCTCAGTAAGGATCATGCTCATCATCCTACGCGTCATTTCCATTTCATCCGCACTTGGGCACTCCTCGTTCGTAAATTCCCCTCGGCCTTTCAGTTCTTTGTATTCCTGTTTGAGCTCCTGAGTGGTCTTGGCAATTTGGCGCATATTCGCAGGTTTTATCCTCATTGCTTTTTTCCTTCCATCAACTTTAACCCCGTAGCGGTTCTCGTTGGTAGGGTCGGAAAGAGAGACAATCTTGCCCCTTCTACCGTTGAGTTTCGATGTCTTGAGTCCAAAAAGGGCAACGCGGTCTCCCTTTTGAAATGCTTGATTCTTGGTAGCCAGGGATGACGACGCCTCGGTTTGATGACTTTCCTCTCTGGTAGCGTTGAACGGATCACTTGCCTCCAACCTTTCAGGTCTTATGTTGATACTCTTGATGGACATCGCCTTGTCGCATCCATCTACCCAAACTCCGTATCGGTTTTCTTCCTTTGAGGAATGAGCTCCGGGAAGATACACGATCGTTCCTTTCTTACCGTTCATTCCCGTCGACTTCAATCCGACAAGGGTCACACGGTCTCCCTTGGCCAATACTTTGCCTTGCATTGTTTTCATTTTAAGATTGGAGAAACATAGATTTATGACAAAAGGGATTTCATGATGGCACGGTCGCTTAGCGACTAGTAGTATAGCTTGATTGCCCATAATGGTGAGGTTGAATTCTACTCGTTTGTTGTAATTTCCATATCTTTTGTATTTTTTCTCGCAGATTTCGCTGATTGGTTCAAACTAAAATTTAAAATTTCAACGGCGTGGATAATGCTAGTACTGGAAGCATTTCTAATAACTCCTACCCTACTACTAGTACTACCAAACTTCGAGAAGCTACTCGAGAACACGAACCCCGAAGAAAAGAAAACCACCGCTAGCAAGAAGTTCCGTCCCTCCCTCCTCGTATTCATACCAGGCACCGGTACTTCTTTCTTACCTAATAGTTCTTTTGACTCCAAGAACCATTTGATAGAGGCCGGAGGACGGCGAGGAGGAGGCAAGACGACGGATAAGAACTAGGAATAGTAGTACTACGATTATTACGTAAAACTAGCAATGAATAGTACAAGTACTGGCTAGTATTACTAATTACTGCAAGTAAAAAGTGTAACTGCTTCTGAACGTCATTAGACTGCTGGTGCTGCTTCTTCATAGAAATTACTACTGTTTTACGTACGATAGACCAATTCCAACACGAAATTAGAAATCTGTCCTAGTAGTAATTTCTTGTTCCATACCGTATCATCTTGGGTCCAGTACTCGTATCAACTATTACCGTCCGTCCGTCAGTCCAACGAAATTATCTTCGTGATCACTCAACCCTTTCGACACATCCTCACGAAAACACTTTTTTCTTTTCTGAAAAATTATTTTGTTGTCGCTTCCATGAAACCCATCACCAAAGTATTAGCAGTCGCAATACACAATTGAAACTGCGAGAGCGATCGACTCGAAAATAAAAACGGGAATAGTCAAATGATAAATGCCTCGAAATTCATTGTGTGAAGACAGAAAAGAAATTGAAGAATGAGTTCTACGCGAGGACCTCCGCAATTGATGTTTGATGATGGCTCCCGTGTCATGATGGAAGACAGCGAAAGCAACGTTGTCGTTCCGAATGAATCCTCGGAGCAACCGTTAGTTCCTATTCAGCGTGGATCCATTCCATTGCACGTATATTACGAAATCAATCGCATGAGCACAGAAACAATCGATCTCCTCGTATCGGAGGAGTCGTCGAATTCGACAGAAAGCACCACTGTCCTGCGGATCGCACTTCAGTTCCCGGACGAACTTCTTCAGGATAGTCCAGAAGTATGCTGGTTGCTGGAAGACAAGATCCGAGAGGAACTAGAAGGACGCTCGAGGACAAACATAATTCCATTTTGTTTCGTATTGGGTGATACGACCGTCAATTCCTGTTGTCCCGACGAGGTAGCCGCTCTTCATCTCAACGCAGATGTTTTGATTCATTATGGGCACGCATGTTTGTCTCCGACTGGCACGCTACCAGTATTGTATTCCTTTGGAAAACTTGAATTTGGGGATCTCGATGGCACCGTCTCACAATTACAAGCTGCTCGAAGCGAGCGCAGCAAAGACGACACAACCAACAACAAGTTTCTCGTCTTGTACCAAGTAGGGTATCACCATGCGATGAAAGAATTACAGGAACGATGGATGAATGAAGACACCGAAAAATCTCTTCAAGTTGTAGTAGCCGAGATACCAGCTCTTTCGCAAAAATGCAACCAGCGACCGAAAACAAGTAGACCTACCGTCAATTCGACGCGGACAGGAGGTTGCTGCCAATCCGACAATTCTCCTAAAAACAACACTGGAAGTAGTGGGTGCTGCGGAGATAGCTCAGAATCACCCTCTGAGAAGAATATTGTTTTGCCATCATCCTCATGCTGTAATAGCAGAGAAAAAGGGGAAAACTGCCTTTCTGCGGTGTCCTCTGAGGCTGGAACTTTACAAGAGGGCGAACCAGATCAGAGTGACCCCGGCAGCAATGAAGCTCCTCTTCGTCCCATGGTAGTTGGTGGCCTCGAATTGCCACGCGACAAAATTTCGTCTTGGGATGATCTTGTCGACTACACAGTTTTGTTCATAATGGGAAATCCCGAGAGCGATGCCGACAAATACAGCACCGATGATAATACAACTCCACAGCAACGTCATTATGCTAACAGCATGCTATGTTTTTTGTCGCTGCCACACGGGGAGCCACAGGGAGGATATTGGATTTATTCCCCCAAGAGCAAGGCCTTGCGGACGAACGTCTCTCCACCACCCGCCATTCGTCGCCAATTGAAGCGTCGGTTCTTCTTGACCCAAAAGGCACGCGATGCGAACGTCTTTGGAATTTTGGTTTCCAATCTGTCTCAGCAATACTTAGTGGACGTCGTGAAATCCCTTCAGCGGATCATCCAGGATGCCGACCGGACGGCCTATTCGTTTGCAGTCGGGAAAATAAATCCTGCCAAACTATCCAATTTTGCCGAGATTGAAACCTTTGTGATGGTTGCCTGCCGAGAAAACTCGTTGTTGGACCAGGAACGAGAGTATCCGATTCCGGTGATCACACCCATGGAATTGGAGATTGCTCTAGAAAATCTTCAATGGGGCATGCAGCCGTACAGTTTGGACTGCCAGGACGTGATGATTCGATTGGGAGAAGAACGACAACAAAAACAACTCGACGCCATGGGCGGGAATACCGACGGAGAAAATGCCAACGACAACTGCAGCGTCGAAAACGAGTACGACAACGATGATTCGGATGCTCCGTACTTTTCCATGATCACGGGTCGATACGAATCCCGTAAGTCAAAGACATCATCAAACGATCTCGATCTCAGGGCTTTGCCTGGACAAGGACAGGTTACAGAATACAAGAGCGAGGCTGCTAACTTTTTGAAACAGAGAGAATATCAGGGATTAGAAAGCAAGGTTGGAGAGACCGAAGCCAAAGCCGCAGTCTTGGGAATGAGGGGAATTGCTTCCGGCTATGATAAATAAAGCAACTGAAACGTCAATAACTGCTTTGAAATTAAACGCTAAACATAATGAGGAGACTATTGGAACTTTGAAAATCTGCTATCTTCAAATATATAATTCGCGACTCAGTATTGAAGTATGATTGTCTAAGTAATCCATTTGAAGAGTACGGTGTGGATGTAATAATCTTCCCCTTGATCTACACTCATTGAGATAGACCGTGGATGGGCATGTGTAAATATAATCTGATCTCCAGTTTCCTAGACTTGTATATAGCTTGCTTGCAAAACATCGCCCTTCTCGTCTTCATTCGTCGTCATCTGGTGGAAGAATGAATGCTGCAGCTACTCTTCGGTCTTCTCCGTTCAACACATTGAAGGTCCCCATGGCATTTGATACGTCCAACACCTCCACAACCAATCCAGGAGCTTCTCTCCTCAGTTCTTTTCGGATCGACTCGGTCACTTGTTGTGGAATCGGCTCACTGCTCCCCAAAAAGAGGTATTCCAGCTTGGGTCTGTACAACAAAATTGGAGAGAGGGATTCCACGGTCAATTCCTTAGGGTCTCGGACCTTCCACAAAAAGCACGCACTCGGTAGAGCAATAATAGAACCCGCACAGTGCACCACACCTCCTGTCTGCTGAAGGCTTTCGTCGGTTGGATCCTTGTTTTTTATCATGTTGAGCACGTCAAAGCCGCTGGCGGAATGGCCCTTCAGAATTATTTTCGGGACACCATCGTTGTGGGCCAGGGAGTCATTAAGAAGATCGGTTCCATGTCCTTCCCAGCTGCTTAGAAGTCTCGTACCGTGATTGAATTGTTGTTGCCATTGTTGTTGCCGTTGGAAGAATCGAGTACTTGATGATGACAAGGTACTTTTTGCTGATGCTATCTGCCGACACCGTCCGAGAAAATGCCGACAATGGTTCATATCTAGATTCTTCCTTTCTACTCTCTAATAAGTTCAATATTGGAATTCAATCACCTCCTATCTCTCTCGCTACCAAAATGGAGATGTCAGGGTTGTCATCCTTTGTCTACAAGACGTCGCTGTGTTATTATTTTTTATTCCATTTTTTCAACAATGATGACGATGATGGTTTTGATGTGTTGTTTCGTTTGCGATGTAGTCTATGAGTCTGTCCGTAGTACGAAAAGGTAACTTTTGGCTTGCGTTACCGCAGTTTAATTTGATCAATCCCGAGTACGTAGCCATTACTACCTCGCAACCACGAACATGAGAAAGCGGTGCAAGCACCAAAGAAATCGAAATCCTGTATCGAAATACTGTATTCTACACGCTGGCAAATATTTGATGATATTTGATTGTTGACAAGAATTCTCCTGCTATCCATTGTATAACGACCGAGCACGTAGCAAATCACAAAAGGACACGACAAAGCGAAACCTTTCGGTTCATCGGTTGGATATCCATGTTTTAGTGGATGTGCAAATACGATTTCCACGATCAATGCGACAAACTTGGATGTGCAGATAGTACAGGGCGAAATTTTTCTTGAATATCGCACCAAAAATTTGAAATATACCAAATCGCTATTGACTAAATTTTGAAAACTTTTTACAAGGGAACGGTTGAATAAAGAACAATCATTGTCAACACTCAGTTCCGGAAAGGAGAATTACAGTTGCATCAACCGTTTGTGACGCAAAGTATACCTTGCATCATGAAAATATCATTTTGCATCACATTGTTAGAAAATGTTCATAAAAACAACTTCCCGATACAACTTGTTTTGTATTGTGTTCTCTTGCTCTCCTCGAACGACGCTTGATGAACAAAGAACGAGGCTTAGTAGTACCAGCATCTTGTAAACAGTTCGCATACCAGAACAGTATTGCATTCTATGCCCGTTTATGTTTTCTGTTCTTAAATTTTTGTTCGTCACGAGTCCTAAATAATTAATTTTACTACGACTCGTGGTTCGCCATTAATGAAAATCCGGATACAGATTTGACACGATCGAAGATCAACTTCCACATTTTTCGAGAGGAAAAACACATTGCAGAGATTGCCCCTGCACCACATTGTGTTTTTCGATTGGCTTTTTCGTTGTTGTTAAATTGGTAGTGTTTGAATAAGGTTTTTACTTGCTCATGCTTTGTGTGCACTGATTCGCGGATTGCAGTTTTTAATGATTTCACACGATCACTACACTTTAAGAAAACAAACGTCTAGCAAATTTCTCAACGGTAGGGGAAAATGTGAACCGGTACCGCATCAACTGTACTTTCCATTGTTCTTATACGATGTTTGTAAACTAAAAACCAAAAATCACTATCATAGATTTCTTAATATTTTTAAGGATTTGACACGACCAATAACATCATGAATGATCGAACTCCTTGCGACAAATAAAGTGTGTATCGGTCTCGCACAACGCGTAACTCTTCGCGTTGGTGTGATATTTTGCAAATGGGAAATTGAAAAGGCTTTCCATTAGCCATCGTCTTGGTTGACTCCCGGTATGGTTCGTCAGCAAAATGATCTCTCTTCAACTTGTCGCCTTGGTTGACTCCTGGTAAAGTTCGCCAGCATCTAACCAGAGCCTATCATTAGAAAAGCATAGATGCGCGAAAATTCGTACTGCCAAAGTCGATATATTAGTTCTCACAAAATTGAATTTGATCAATTTTAAATCAGAACTTTACAACAAGCAAAAAATCTAAAACAAAACTAACTATGATGTACTCGAAAGTTGTTTTCGTTGCTATCGCAGCAATGGCCGTGTCGCCAGCTTTTTCTCATCGTTCAACTCAGGTGCGCTCTTCCGTTCGCTCTGGGGAAGATCTCGTTCTTGGCTCAGCTGAGAAGCGCTTTGATGCCGATCGCAAAGACAAGCAAAACATCTTTGGTCGCAAACTAGAGACTTCTTCTGAGTCTGAGGACGGCGTCGAGTCTGCAGACAGCTCCGACTCCGAGGATGAGCCAGCTGTGGATGAGCCTGCTGGTGGTGGACGCAAGCTCTCTTCTGATTCTGAGGATGGTGTTGAATCTGAATCTGAATCTCTGGACAGCTTGGACTCTGAGGACGAGCCTGCTGGTGGTGGACGCAAGCTCTCTTCTGATTCTGAGGATGGTGTGGAGTCTGAATCTGAATCTCTGGACAGCTTGGACTCTGAGGA